ACTTGGAATATTTCTTGCCATTCCCTTCTGGCTTGGAGCATTTCCATTGAGAAGTCAGCTGCTAGTCTTTGTGAGGCTTTCTTGTATGTTACTTCCTATTTTTTCCTTGCTGCCTTTAAAATTCTCTTTACCTCGGAATTTTGCCATTTTAATTATGATGTGTCTTGAAGTGGGCCTTTCTGGGCTCCTCTTGATTGGGACTCTCTGTGTTTCCTAGATTTGTGTGACTTTTTCTCTCATCAAATTAGGGATCTTTTCCATCATTATGTTTTCAAACAGGTTTTCTATCCTTTGCTCTTCTTCCTCTCCTTCTGTTACCCCTCTTATATGGATATTATTATGTTTCATGTTGTCCTGCATTTCCCTTAAGCCCTCTTAATTCTTTCTGAGCCTCTTTTCCTTTTCTTGCTTATTCTGGGTATTTGATTTTTTTTTTTTACCTTCCCTCCAACTTGCTGATCCAATCTTCTGCTTCATTGATCCTGCTTTTGATTCCTTCTACTGTGCTCTTCACTTCAGAAATTGTGTTCTTCATTTCCTCTTGGCCCTTGTTGATAGTTTCTATTTCCTTTTTCATGTTGATACAGTTTGCAGTGAGTTGACTGTAGTTTCCCTATAGTTTTTGGTAATTCTCTGTGAGTTCATTGAGCTTCCTAATAACCATTACTTTGAACTCAATATCTGACTTGTCTCAATAGTTGTCTTGCCTCTATTTCATTTAGCATTCTTTCTGAGGCTTCCTCCTTTCCTTTTATTTGGGGATTGTTTCTTTCTCTTCCTATTATTTGTGAGACTCTTCTTGTTAGCCTTTACTTCTTAAATTGATCTGTTCTGCCTCCCTGGGTTTCTGCTGTGAACTTCTGTGGTAGAAGACCTGTGAGATTCAGTGGTGTAGACTCCTACATCTGCTGAGCTTGCTGGTCTTGGGCTGTCATTTATGTTGGCTCTCTGTATGTCTTTGGGTTTTGATTGTTATTGGGTCTTTCTTTTGGAGGGTCCTTCCCTCCAGCTGGTTAACTGAGCATCACTCCATCCACCACCTCTTGTATTCTGTTGTGCAGATGTGGACAGGTTGCATTAAAGCTGGTTCTTCTGTGTGTACAAGGTTTTGAGGATTCGCTCTTTCTCTTGTTCAGTGGTTTGTTTTTAGCAATTTCTCCACCATTCAGTTGTATTTCCAGATAGGTCCTGGGTTGAGTTAGTGTGTCTTCTACTCCCTCCTTCACCTTCTTCTGTTCTCTGTTGGTGGTTTCTTTGTTGGTGGGTTTCTTCTTCCAGCAGGTATCCTGGTGTTCACAGCTTCCACCTATTCTTTTTTGTGATATGTTGAAGGGGGAAGGCAAAATGGTTTAAGCAGGAGTATATTCTGTAATATTTAAAGTACCAACCTGTAGAGAAGAGATAGAAGATCCTTTGGTTATGTATTTTGTTAACCATGATATTTCACCCAACTAGCCTCTTTTTAGAAAGGATGGAAAGAAGATAAGACTCTTGTTGGGGGAGAGAGGATTGTGATTTGGATCTAGAATGCAATGAGCTTGTGGGAGATCAGATAATAAGGTGAAGTGAGAGTAAAGGATAGAAAATAGGTGTAGTGAGTGAGAGAACAGAGTTAACAACAACAGTAATAAAGTTCAGGAAACAGTGAAGTGGGCTAACATCTGGGAGAGGTGCTGTGTAGTATTTATAATTGTATGGAACAGCAATTATTTACAATAGTAATGGAGCAACAACCATATTACAGAATCTATGTGATCTGGATAACAAGAATAAGAAGTATAGGACCTAGAGTAGTGTGCTAATAGAACACAAGTGAAGTAAAAGACAGTAAATTAAAAATATGCTATGAAAGAGAGAACAAGGGAAACCAGTCAAACAATGCAATTTAACCAGCCAAGTGAAGAAGACTAAACAGAAAAAAGAGAAATACAAAAATACTAATGAAATGAAAGATGTAAGAATAATGAAAAATAATAATACACATATATAATAACTCGCAAGTTCTCTGTAGTAGCAAAGTGAAATTTGTCTCACTGTCTCAGCTGTTGGGATGACCCCTCTTTGGGTCCATCTCTGGTCTTTTCACAGTTCCAGGTTTTATTTGTGTCAATTGTTGGGAAAGGAAGGAAGGGAGGGAAGGAGGGAGGGAGGGAGGGAGGGAGGGGAGGGAGGAAGGGAGGGAGGGAGGGAGGGGAAGAAAAAAGGAGAAGGAGGAGGAGGAAGAGGAAAGAGAAATAATAAGAGATATAAAGGGAAAGAAAGAAGGAAGGAAAGGAGGAATAAATAAAGAATCAAAAAAAGGAAGAAGGAGTTAAAAGAAAAAAATACTTTTTAAAAAGCCTCTTGCTGGCTTCAAACTGGCCAAGCCAGTTCTGCTGCTCTTCTGGCTGCAGCAGACTGAGGGGGTTTGGGTTTTGCTTTTCTCCCTTCCTGAGAAGGCTGAAGGGGGATTGGCTTTGTTTTTTTCTCTTCCTGAGCTGCACTGGCCCAGCCTCCAGCCCAGTTCCCTGCTGGGCCCCCAGTGCCCTTCTGTGCCCAAACTAGGCCTTCAGTCCACCAGTTGCGCTGTCTCTGAGGCGCACTAGTTAGGGGCAACTCACACACCACCTTCTTGCTCTTTGCTGTCCTAGATACAAGGGACTCTCAGCACCCCTTTAGGCTAGTTCAGCACCCACCCACCCCCCGCCGCCACTGAGTTAAGTCTTTCTGCAGATTGCTGGCTCCCTGAGCCCTGCAGTTCTCCTCTGTGGGGGCATCTCTGCCCTCCTCTTAGATAGCCAGTCAGCCCTGCAGGGCAGGGATACTGCTGTGGCTGCCCCTGCAGATGCAGTGTGCTCCTCCTCTTCTGCTTCTCCAGGGGAGCAGGGGTTGGGTGCACGATGCCTCTGGGCCACAGGGTCAGGCATACTCCATCCAGGGCCTACAGGTTTAGTGGGACAGGCAGCCACTGGTCCCACAGTTTTGGGTGCACACTCTCCCTGGGGCTTTGGGTGTGAGCACAGGGGTATGGGTGCAGAAGGCCAAGTGGCTGCTGCAGCCAGCGTTTAGAGTCTCCATGGGTGCACATAGCCCCCCTGTGTTTGCCACTTCTTCCTTATTCCCCTCCCTTTGACTTTATGCAACCAGGTCTCTCCTGGTGCTGAGCCATTGACCGGCTCTTTCCCAAGAACCCTGGGCCAGACCAGGCAGTCCCTGTGCTGGACCCAGGGACCTTATTGTCCTGAAGCACTCTCCTTATCATCTGATTTTTCAATGTCCTCTACAATTTTTTATCTCCAGTCTTCATATATGCGGGATACTGTTGGCTGTTGGCTCTGTTCCTTGGAAGACTGGCTCAAGAAGAGATTTTTTTTTTATTCCACTTATGATAGTATCAGAAAGGATAAAATACTTAGGGAATAGATTTAACCAAGACATGGTTAAAGACACGTTCGTCAAAAACTTATAAGACATTGATGAAAAAATTGAAAGAGATACAAATAAATGAAAAGATATTCTGTGTTCATGGATAGGAAGAATTAATATTATTATACTATCCATACTACCAAAGGTACATCAAAAAATTAAAAATAGAACTACCATTGATCTGGGAATCCCATTTATAAGTATGCATCTAGAACACATAAAATCTTCATGGGTTATGTGAACCTCCACACTCACTGCAGCATAATGCACAACAGACAAGACATAGAAGCAACATAAGTGTTCGTCAATGGATGCATGTATTTGTAAAAGGTAGTATATATACACAATGGAATAATATTTGGTTATGAAAAAAAAGGAAATCCTGTCATTTATGACAACACAGATAAAAGTTGAGGGTATTATTCTGAATGAATAAGCCAGATAAGACAAAGACAAATACTTTATGATCTTGTATGTGGAGTATATTTTTTAAAAAAAGACTCCCAAACTCACCAAAACAAAAAAGTAGAATGGTAGTTTCCCGATGCAGCAAGGTGGAAGAAACAGGAAGATGTTGGTCAAAGGTACAAATTTTCAACAATAAAATGAATAATTCTGGGGGTCTAATGTACAGCCTGGTGACTATAGTTAATAACAATATATTATATATTTGAAAGTTGCTAAGATAGTAAATCTTAAATGTCCTCACTAGATGAAGTGGTAGATGTGTTAACTAACTTCATATGGTAATTATTTTGCAATATATACTTATACCAAAACATTAAATTTATATAGTGTTGTATGTCAATTATACCTCAAAAAAGCTGCAGGAAATTTTTTTAAAAGATAAAAGCATACTGTTTTGCCAATCTACAGATGTCTGCCTTTAACTTTATTCAGAAGTTCATTCTTTCCTTCCTTTTTTCCTTTCCTTCTTTTTCCTTCCTTCCTTCCTTCCTTCCTTCCTTCCTTCCTTCCTTCCTTCCTTCCTTCCATCCATCCATCCATCCATCCATCCTGAGGAATTCTCTACTATACAGGACACATGAACAAAACCAAGGAGGAGGATGGAAGCAAGGGAGGGAGGTGGATTTGGCTGGGGTGGGGGTGAGTGGTAGGGAGAAAATGCAGACAACTGTAATTGAACAACAATAAAGTAATAGAAAAACAGGAATTGAATTATTGCAACAATAATTGAATAAATTACAAAGGAATAGAGGACTTTACCAGAAGACAGTGAAGAAAATTTAGCTAACAAATGAAACTAACCTACCTTCCTGACTTTATATGAGTATGGTAGGGTGTTAGAAAATAGGACCATAAGGGGGTTGCTGCAGATGTATGTCAGTCACTGAGAAGTCTCAATGGGTATAAGAGAGATTTGTGATGAGGTCAAGTCAGGACAGAAGTATCAGGTATTGTGTCCATGAGAGTTCTATAAATGATAGCTTGCCCAGTGGACTGAAGTGGGAGGGTGGGTCCAATATCACCTGGATATAATACAATGAGAAGGGCAAAATATGTTTTCCATCTTATATAAACAAAATCTCAAGAAACTAATTCTGAGCTATTATAAAATACGGATGTCCTCTTACCTTGCAATCTGTTGTGCAGCATTCCCCAGAACCACACTGTTTCTCAGGTTTCAATCTACATGATACAGCATCACAGCAGGCTTTATGTGTGCAATCCTGTAAATAAATGCTGTTACTCAATCACATATGACTAGCTACCATAAAATAAAACTGCCACTCAGGATTTCTTTACAAAGTCTGAAGCTTTTCTCAAATTCCCAGTTTTAGTAATCCCATTCTTTATATGAAATCCACAGAAATCAACATTTTATTCACTAGTTTGTAAAAGGGTGTTGTTCCACTACATTCCATATGACCTGAACAATATGAACATATTACTGTGAAGCCACAGTAATATGTGGCTCACACCTCTAAGGTGTGAAGCCAACACCTTAGAGGAAACACTCGCTAGCTGCCTTGCTAACTACCATTCTCTTCAAATTTTTTCTGATATTCTTGCTTTTATAATTAATTGTATAAGCCAAATTTGTTCACATGTAGAACTTCTTTGATGTGAAGTTATCAAAAACAACATTCTTCTCTCCCCAAAATGGTAAAATCCCCAAAACCACCCTAAAAAAGGTGGTCCCAGAAGTCAGGTTCATCTATTCAGACCTCTGCTTTCACTGGGATCCTGGCCCTATAGACACTTGTATTGTATAAGGTTCAGTGCCTCCAGGTCATCATTTCTACTCCTCAGTAGCAAGTTTGTCCTAAATTATGTAGTCTGTCAGTATCAGATGTTTCTTTCTGGGTGATGTGTCTTTTTTGTTACTGATAATTCTTATTACTATTTTCAATGAACAACTTGACCATAGGCTGTGGTACTGTACTTTTAAAAGTTATTTATGAGACCCAAGATGGCAGAGGAATAAATGGAAGCTATACTAACCTCTTCCCTGGACCAAACTGGAATTAAAACTAAATTGAAGAGAAATCATCCTGAATACCCAACTGAACTCTAGCTAGAGAGAGGCCTTATAACCAAGGACAGACAGAGAAAACCATACCACTGAAACAAGACTGGTAGGGACTATGAAGGAGGCATGAGAGGGCTGGCTGGGCTCCCACGGGCAGCAGCTTAGGTTCTGGAGGGATAGTTCAGTGGCTTGGAGTTCTCCCAAGAAGTGTGAAATTTAAACCCCTAAACTGGGCTACTCAGCCTACAGCACCAGAGCCAGGAAAATAAATAAATAAACAGTAACACCCAGCTGTGAAAAGCAGCAGGGTTTCTGTCCATCGGGAAGATACAGTTGGATATCTAGAGGCCTCTTAAATGGACAATGCACAAAATTTTGTTTGTAGCCACTTACACTGGGCTCCAGCAGAGAGAGGGCAGAGTGGACTAGAGCTGCATGAGGAAAGCCTGGTGTTGGAGGCTCTGGAGAGAGAACTGAAAGAAGAGCCTCCAGGATCCCTTTGCTGAGTCATTTCCCATATGGCAGAAGCCATCTTTCCCAGGCATAACCCCCTCCCTCTCCAAGTGGTATCAGCCTGAGGGGAAGCAAAAGCCCACTGGAATTACTCTACTCCACCCTGTAGAGCTTAAGCCAGGTCACTAAGAAGTACATTTGGAGGTTATCTATACAATTTAACAATTAAGGTAGATCTCTGGGAACTCTAAGACTTCAGCTGATCTGCCCCAGTGCCTGGGTGCTGGTAGAAGCCTGCCATGGTGCACAGTCTGGCTTTTTCAGCATACAAACAGGCCCAGCAGAGGGAGCCACAAGCTGTGGATTGATGATGACTCCAAACAGGTTGCCCCAGGCCAGTCACAGGCAGTGTCTGACATAGGTCTGAAACAGACACTTCACAGATATATCTAATACATAGAAACAAACACAAAGAGGTGGCCAAAATGGGAAGACAAAGAGACAAGACCCCAAATGAAAGAACAAGAGAATACTCCAGAAGAAGAATTAGGTGAAAGGGAGGCAAACAATTTATCAGATATAGAGTTTAGAATAATAGTTATAAGAATACTCAACAGCATGAAAAATATATAAAAAACAATTTTTAAAAAGTACCAGTCATAAATAAAGAATGCATTCTCTGAAATAAATAATACACTGGAAGGAATAAACAGTAGGTTAGATGAAGCAGAGGATCAAATCAGTGATCTGGAAGATAAGAAAAAACATCCAAGAAGAGCAGCAAAAAGGAAAAACAATAAAAAAGAATGAGGAGAGCTTACGAAACTTTTGGAACAACATGAAGCATAACAGCATCTGTATCATAGGAATACCAGATGAGGAAGAAAGTGGAAAAGGGATCAAGAACCTATTAGAAGGAAAAATTACTGAAAACTTCCTTAGTCTGGTGAAAAAATAACACACATAAGTCCAGGAAGTGCAGAGAGTCCCAAACCAGATGGACCCCAAGAGACCTATACCAAGAAACATCATAATTAAAATAGCAAGGCTAAAGACAAGGAAAGAATCCTAACAGATATAAGAGAAAAGCAGGTTGTTACCTACAAGGGAGCTCCAATTAGACTGTCATCTGATTTCTCAACAAAACATTTCAAGCCAGAAGGGATTGGCATGAAATACTGCAAGTGATGAAAAGCAAGGCCCTACAACCAAGGCTATTTTACCCAGCAAGGCTATCATTTACAATTGAAGGAGAAATAATTTTCCAAACAAGAAAAAGCTAGAGGAGTTTGTTAACACCAAAGCAGTACTACAACAAGTGTTAAAGGGCTTGCTTTAAGAAGAAAAAGGAAAAGAAAAAACAGAGGAAAATGGTTTAAAAATAAAACAGCAATAAATAGGTATCTATCAATAATCCCCTTAAGTGTAAATGGCTTAAATGCTTCAACCAAAGATACAAGGTTGCTAAATGGATAAGAAAACAAGACCCACATATATGCAGTCTCCAAAAGACTCACCTCAGATCAAAAGTCATGAAGACTAAAAGTAAAGAGGTGGAAAAAGGTATTTTATCCAAATGAAAAGGAAGAAAAAGCAGGGGTATAGTAACACTTATACCCAACAAAATACACTTTAAAAGCAACACTATAGTAAGAGACAAAGAAGGACACTACATAATGATAAAGGGGACAATCCAACAACAGGATATAACCCTAGTAAACATTTAAACACCCAACATAGCAGCACCTATATAGGTGAAGCAAATCTTAAGGGACAAAAACTGAGAGATCAACAGAATATAGTCATAGCAGGGGAAGTCACACTCCATTGACTTCGATACATAGATCTTCCAAACAGAAAAGCAACAAGGACACATCAGCCTTAAATGACATCCTAGAGCAAATGGGTTTAATTGATATCTTCAGAGCATCTCACCCCAAAACAGCAGAATATACATACTTTTCAAGTGCACGTAAAATGTTTTCTAGCAGAGACCACATGTTAAGACACAAAACAAGTCTCAGTAAATGTAAGAACACTGAAATCATATAAAGCATTTTCTCTAACCATAATGGTATGAACTAGAAATCAATCACAAGAACACTGAAAAATACACAAAGATGTAGAGGCTAATAACGTTATTAAACAATGAATGGGTCAACAATGAGATCAAGGAAGAAATCAAAAGATACCCTGAGACAAATGAAAATAAGAATACAACAATCCAAAATCTGTAGGACACAGAGAAAGCAATCCTAAGAGGAAAATTCATAGTATTACAACATATCTCAAAAAATCAGAAAAAGCTCAAATAAACAATCTAACTTTACGCTTAAAGGAACATGAAAAATAAAAACAAAAAAGCTCAAAGTAAGTAAAAGGAAGAAATAATAATGCAGATCAGAGCAGAAATAAACAAAATAGAGTCTAAAAAAATTATACAAAACATCAATGAATCCAGGAGCTGGTTCTTTGCAAAGATGAACAAGACTGACAAACCTTTAACCACACTCATCAAGAAAAAAAGAGAGAGGATTCAAATAAATAAAATCAGAAATGAAAGAGAAGGAATAACAACTGACACCAAAGAAAATACAAAGAATATTAAGAAAATATTATGAACAACTATATGCCACAGACTGGACAACCAGTCCAGTTCAGGTTTTCCTATTCAGGCACTGATTCCTAAAAGGTTTCAGCTTGCTCCACCAGTAAGTTGTGATTCTCTGTTATTTGCCTACCAGTCCTTCCAGGATAAGGGCACAGGGCCATGATTTGCTCTAATACCTCATTTCTCTGATGGATCTATGAAGCGTTGTTGCTTCCTCAATTTGTTAAGCTTTTGTTGTAAAGACTTAGTGGTGACTTCGTAACTACTCACATATCAGATCAGAAACCACAATACTTAAGTGTCTTTTTGTATTTAAAATTGGCTTTTGAATATTTTTATATATTCATATATATCTGAATATACATGAATTGTAAATATTGTCTCCCATTCAGGAGCCTTGCTATTTTGTTCTTCTTAACAGAGTCTAAAAGAAAAGATTTGTAAATTTGATGAAGTACAATTTATCATTTTTTAACCTCATTCTTATTTGTCATGTTTAAGCAATTTTTGCCTACCACAGGGTCAAAAAGATTGTCTCCTACATTTTATTCTAAAAGCTTTAGAATTTTAGCTGTTATATTTAAGTCTTTGATCCAGGTCCAGTTAATTTTTATGTATGTAGAAAGTTAAGGTTTATTTTACTTACATGGATATCCAATCCAGTTCATACAACACCTTTGTCAAAAGATTTTCTTTACCCATTGAATTGCCTTGACAGATTGCCAAAAAAAATCAGTTGACCATATACACATTATTTTATAAGTGGATTCTCTATACAGTCCCAGTAAGGTATATACTCATGCTTTGGCCAATACCACATCATCTTCATTATTGTAGCTTTATAAAATTTTTTTAAATAAAAAAAAATTAATCTATGTGTTCTACCCTTTTTTTTAAAGGCTTTGTCTTTTGCATTTCCATATAAATTGTAGTATAGATTATCAACTTCTACAAAAAGATGGGTGAGTTTGGGTTGGGATTGTGTTGAATAAATATATAGTTATGCAGAGCTGACATCTTACTAATACTGTGTCTTTCACTCCCTGAAAGTGAGTATGTCTTCACTCATTACAATCTTCCTTCATTTGCTGAGCTATGTCAGTTTTTATTGTACAGGTCTTGCACATATTTTGCTAAGTGTATGAATATATTTCACATTTTTGAAACAACGTTTATGGAACCGTACTTTTTATTTTATTTTCCATATTTTATTGCTTACATTAGAAATCCAATTGATTTCTGTATACTGCCCTTGTATCTAGTGACTTCAATGGACTAATTAGTTTTAGTAACCTTTTCAGAGGAGACTGCTTAGGATTCTCTAGTCCTGTGGTTGAGTTGAATTTTATTAAAGATAGGTTTGCACCTTTTTTTCCAATCATCATGTGCTTCTTCATACTGCCTTACAACAATGGCTATAGCATGTACTGCAATGTTAAATGGAAGAGATAAGAGTAACATCTTTGACTCGCTCCAGGTATAGGGGGGAAACTTTGAGTCTTTCACCAGTAATTATGATGATAGTTGTAGATATTTCAGAGGTGTACTTTATTAGAGTTAGGAGGTTCCCTTCTATTCATAAAGCACTGACATTATAAATGAATTGGTGCTAAATTTTCTTAAATGTTTTTTCTTCATATATTCTATTATGTTGCATAACAATGAATGACTTTCTTTTTATAAATGTAAAAATGTGTTTATTCACAATCCTTGAGAAGTTTCATATCTTAAAACAACCCTGTATTCTTGGAATAAGCCCCACTTAATCAAGACATTAAACTATTTATATATTGTTCATGGGGGATATTGATGGGATTTTCTTCTCTTTTAACTTTTCATCTTGTTTTGACTTCAGGCCAAGAGCCATTTTATGAAATGAGTTGCAAAATGCCTCCCATCCCCCTCTTCATTCCAGTCCTCTTTTGGCTTTGTCCACGGGTCCTTTATACACGTTCCTTGATGACTCCTCTCCTTCTTTCTTTCATTATCCCTTTCCTCCCTCCACTCTGTTTACTGTCAGTGTGTTCATTATTTCAGTGTCTCCGGTTGCATTTTGATTGCTTGTTTTGTTGATTGGGTTCCACTTAAAGGTGAGATCATATGGTATTTATCCTTCACTGCCTGGTTTATTTCACTTAGCATAATGCTCACCATTTCCATCCATGCTGTTACAAAGGGTAGGAGTTCTCTCTTTCTTTCTGCTGCATAGTATTCCATTGTAATGTACCACAGTTTGTTTTTTTAATATCTGTATTGATTACACTATTACTGTTTTCCCAGTTTTCCCCTTCTATCCCCTCTCCGTCCTGCCCCCAACCCTCTAGCATTCCACTCCCCTTAGTTCACATCCATGGGTTGTACATATAAGTTCTTTGAGTCCTCTGTTTCCCATACCATTTTTCATCTCTTCCCATCTACCTTATGCCTACTAACCAGGCTTCTTCTTCCCTGTACCTTTCCCTGCTATTCCTCCCTTCCCCCTCCCCACTGAAATCCCTACCTGTGATTCCCATTTCTCTGATTCTGTTCCTGTTCTAGTTATTTGCTTAATGTTTGTTTTTTTTTTTAAGTTCACTTGTTGATAGTTGTGAGTTTGTTGTCATTTTACTATTCATATTTTTTATCTTCTTTTTCTTAGGTAAGTCCCTTTAACATTTCATATAATAAGAGCTTGGTGATGATGACCTCCTTTAACTTGACCTTATCTGGGAAGCACTTTATCTGTCCTTCCATTCTAAATGAAAGCTTTGCTGGATAGAGTAATCTTGGATGTAGGTCCTTGCCTTTCATGACTTGGAATACTTCTTTCCAGCTCTTTCTTGACTGCAAGGTTTCTTTTGAGAAATCAGCTGATAGTCTTATGGTCTTTGTAGGTAACTCTTTCCTTTTCTCTTGCTGCTTTTAAGATTCTCTTTTTGTCTTTAACCTTGGATAACTTAATGATGATGTGCCTTGGTGTGTTCCTTTTTGGATCCAACTTCTTTGGGACTCTCTGAGTTTCCTGGACTTCCAGAAAGTTTATTTCCTTCGCTAGAGTGGAGAAATTTTCCTTCATTATTTCTTCAAATAAGTTTTCAATTTCTTGGTCTTCCTCTTCTTCTTCTGGCACCCCTATAATTCGGAGATTGAAACATTTCAGGTTGTCCCAGAAGTTTAAAAGAGTCTCTTCACTTTTTCAAATTCTTGTTCCTTCATTTTGTTCTGGATGAATGTTTATTTTTTTCCTTTTTTTTCTAAATCATTGCTTTGAGTCCTGGTTTCCTTCCTGTAACTGCTAGTTTCCTGAACATTCTACTTTATTTCACTTTGGGTATCCTTTATTTGTTTTATCATTTTTTGACCAAGCTCAATCAGATCTGCTTTAAATTGTCCATCATATAGTCTGGCAATCTCCTCCTTGCTTAGCTCTCTTTCTGAGGCTTCACTCTGTTCTTTCATTTGGGCCATATTCCTTTGTCTTGGCCTGTACCACAGTTTTTTGATCCACTCATGTACTGATGGGCACTTAGGTTGCTTCCAGCACTTGGCTATTGTAAATTGTGCTGCTATGAACAGTGGGGTGCATAGGTTTCTTTGAATTGGTTTTTCAAGATTCTTAGGGTATAATCCCAGCAATGGAATTGCTGGGTCAAATGGCAGTTTCATTTTTAATTTTTTGAGAAAATTCCACACTGTTTCCCACAGTGGCTGCACTAGTCTGCATCCCCAGCAACAGTGCACTAGGGTTCCCTTTCCCCCACAACTCTGCCAATACTTGTTGTTTGTTAACTTGTTTATGATGATGGCCAGTCTTTCAACATGTGTGCTTCACTTTGTTGTTAACACCTCCTCTATCATCTTTCATCTTTGTATTGGTTTAACCTTTCTTGCACATTTTTATATTTTCTACAAGTAACAAATTTCATTTTAAAACACTGTTATACAGTGGGCATAACCTGTCAACACAAGTCTTTTTCTCATTATATTATCAAACAAGGTCTATTCCACTGCCAATAGTCTATATACTTCAGATGTCCTTATCTGTTTTTGTTACTGCTTATTGTTAACTATATTTCTTCAACTCCTTCAGTACTTTTTGTGGTCACTAATTCTAAGTGTGAAGCTGATGCATACACTAAAAAATGCGAAAAGACAATATCTGAAGATAAACATTATCTTCAGAACCTTTGCTCTGTTTCCAAAAATAGCCACAAATTAGAAGACTTAAAAGCTGCCATCATCTACAAAATAGGTATTTTTTAATTTTTCTAAAGACAAGGTCTTTATCTTTTCCCCCACATATTATACACATATATAGAAAACAAAAAGTTTCTGACAAGTTTCTACTCACAGCTGCCTTGCCGCAGTCACACTCTTCACCCACTTCCAACCTCCCGTTGCCACACACATAGTTTACTTGTTTGTAAACTGGAGTAACATGAAGGATGTTATGAAGACAATCAAAGCCAGAATTTGAGGCGAGGTATTTAAAATCATCCAAGCTACAGGTGCTAAAATCCTTTATACCCCAAGAGTGCCTAAATTATTAAAAACATGGGTATGGTAAAAATTATTGCTGTATATCTCCACATTTACCCTAATGTATGGCGTTTTCGAGAGAGATTTAGAGTATTATTCTTCACAGAAAACAGAAGGCACATTTAAAAAATATTCATTGCATTGCTAATATGTTTAACACACTTTTTAAATTTCAGCAGAAAACTAATGGGAATGAAAATACAGGAACCGTGTTATTCTTTGTTACTTCCCCAGTGTCAACAACTGAATTAAAAAATTTTGGCTTCAGTATTTAATGTACTCTTAATCTATTTAATATTATTTTTATATTTTCTGTAACTGCCAGAATGAATACATTTAATGATATATTTATTAACAGTATTTATTATCACTATTTTAATAGTAACTTTAATAGCATGTTTTTTAGCTTTTCTGCTTCTCATAATTAAACATTTCTCAAATAAAAATTGGTTGGTTGAGCTCTTTGGGAGGGGCAGTAGGAGGACCTGTCCTGACAGAATAAAAGCTGTTAGCATTTTTGTAACACCTTGGCATCCAACTAAAACACTAGAAATAATATGATTTAAGAGACTAAAGATTGTGCCATAGACCAGGGGTTGAGGAACTTTTTTCTGTAAAGGGCCAAGTAGTAAACGGCATCAGCTTATGTACTATATATGCCATTAGAACTAATAAATCAGCTACAGTAGTACTAAAGAAGCCATAAGCAATATGGAAACCAATAAGCCTGGAAGTATTTCGGTAAGATTTTACTGACAAACCATGCAGCCAAATTTGGCCCCTGGACTATTGTTGGCTGGCTGTTGCCTTGTACTACAACCTACTCCCTATCATTTCTCACAGAGTCTAATTCAAGTTCTGACAGGATCCCCAGAGAAGACCAAATTGGAAAAACCTTGAGTTTTCCTATATGCATATTAACAAAGCATAAAAGCAAGCAAATAAAATTCAAAATGATTAGCCAGTAGTTGAATTGACTGGTAAAGAAAAAAAAATCAATGTTTTTCACAGAAAGGTAGGAGAATCCAAGCTTTCTATTGTATAACAACACTATTCAATGTGATGATGACGATAATGACAATGATAGACATAAAATAAATAAGAAAATGTAATCCATTGCCAATATAAAAGCAATCAATAGAAATCAACAATGAGATGGCCCAAGTATTACATATGGCATGCAAATACTTAAAATAAACTGATATTATATATTCAAATAATTAAAGAAAACTGCTTAGTTAATTAGAGAAATTACAATCTTATAAGTAAACACTCAAAGTATAGTATATATTCAATTTACATAAAATTATAGAGCAAGGTAAGCTTATTGTAGTCATAGAAATCAGATTAGTTGATGCCTGGGGCAAGGGTGGTGGGTAGAAGGAATACCAAGGGTCACAAAGGACCTTTCTGTGGAGACAAACACTGTATACCCTGATGACACTGTGGTTCAAAGATTTATATATATTTGTCAAAACTCATAAACTTCTCCACTTGAAGTATGTCAATTTTATTGTGGACAAGTTATACATCAATAAACCTGGTTGTTTAGAAAGTATAAACACTCAAAAATATGGTGAGAATATTTTTCTGAGAAACTATCATAAAGAAGAAATACATTTATTTATCTACTTTTCATTAAAAAAAAAAAAAAAGGCCCTGGATGGTGTAGCTCAGAGGATTGAGCACAGGCCTGCAAACCAAAGCATGGCCAGTTTGATTCCCAGTCAGGGCACATGCCTGGGTTGCAGGCCAGGTCCCCAGTATGGGGTGCACTAGAAGCAACCACACATTGATGTTTCACTCCCTCTCTTTCTCCTTCCCTTCCCCATCTCTCTAAAATAAATAAATAAAATCTTAAAAAAAAATAGATATCATAGATTCAGAATCAAAGTATAAAATTAAATAATGAGAAAATATCCTGAGCTGATTAGATCCTTATTTGCAAAAGATTTACTGAGCACTCTTCTAGGCTACATTATTTAGTAAAAAGTACACCAAGTGCCTCCTAGGAGCAAAAAGAAAGAATACCAGGATAGAAATATGTAAAATTACTCAGATAGTTACTGGAATGATGAAGAACAAAAATAAAGCACTATATTGTAAAAGTAAATAAAAGATCATATTTTAGAAGAGAGGATATTTATTTTTTTAATCTGTAGCTAACATTATACTTATGATGAAAAAGCGAATGCTTTCCCCTTAAGATTGAAAAAGCAATAATATCCACTTTTGCCACATCAATTCACATTGAGCTGAAGTTATTTTGAGTGTAATTAAGCAAGAAAAAAATTAAACACAAAGAGATGAAAAGGAAAAATAAAACAGTTCTTATTCATGAATGACAGGATCTTGTTTATAAAAAATGTTACAAAATGAACAAATAAAAATCTCCTGGGAACTTCTAAAGTGTTTAACAAGTTTACAGCCCTCAAAGTCAATGTACAAAAATCAATTATATTTCTATGTACTAGCAATGAATAATTTGAAGATGATCTTAAGCCCTGACTGGTGTGGCTCAGTGGATTGGACATCATCCTGCAAATCAAAAGGCCTCTGGTTCAGTTCCAGAGACTGGCTCAGGATACATGCCTGGGTTGCAGACCAGGTCCCCAGTTGCAGGTGTGCAAGAGGCAACCAGTAAATGTGTTTCTCTCACATATCGATGTCCCTCTCCCTCTCTTTCTTCCTCTTTTTCTCCCCTCCCTAAAACTTAGTAAATACAAACTTTGAAAATGACATAAAGTAAACAATTCCATTCATCATACCAAAAATAATAGTTAAAAGATAAATTTAATAATGCTCAAAGATAAACTTAAGAATACTTAAAGATAAATTTAAACTGTAAAACACAATTATATTGCTAAGAAAATTTTTAAATGATCTACCTAAATGAAGATATAAATCATATTCAAGGATCAAAATACTTAATATTATTAAAATGACAAGTCTCCCAAAATTGAACTATGCAATTAAACTATGCAATACTTTTCAAAGTCTCCGAAGTTTTTGTAAAAATTAGGAAATTGATAAAATATCCATAAAATTGCAAAGGACCTAGAATAGGTGAAAAAACTTGGGTGCCTACACTATCCAATTTCAAAATTCAATGTAAAGCTACAGTAATAAAGGCAGTGTGCTCTTCCATAAGGGCAGACATACAGGTTAAAAATATAAAATACAGATTCCAATAAAAAATCTGCACATATGTAGCCAATTCATTTTTGAAAAAAATTGCCAAGGCAACTGAGGGAATGGATAGTCATTTTAACAAGTAGAAATGGAATAATGGGAAATCCATATGGCAATAATAAAAATAAACTGAAATGTGTATACCATAATTAACTCAAAGCATATCATAAACATAACTGTAAGAGCTATAAAACCATGATGCAGAAAGGAAAAAAGGATAAAGTGTACCTCGTCAAAATTAAAAGCATTTTTAAAAAAAATTCATTCAAAGGAGGAAATCATGTATCTGATAGCAAGAATGAATAAACAATTCTTACAACTCAATAAGAGCATGAAAATCTTTTTTTTTAATTAAAAAGATAGTTTTGAATAGGTTCTTCACCAAAGATGACATACAGAGCTATTAAGCATGAAAATATGTTCAACATCATTAGCTCCTAGGGAAATGTAGTTGAAAACCAATAAAAGATAGTACTACATACATAGTAAAATGATTCAAATTAAACTCTGAACATACCAAGTCTTGGTGGTGATGTCAAACACCTGGACTGGCTACAAAAATGGAAATGTACGGACCCTTGTTTATAAATGATACTAAAATTAAAAACTTTTTCCTTTCTTCAACAGTCTGTCTGTCTCTAATGGGTCATGGTGTTCTTTATTTGCAATTTAATGTCTTTTTAAATAAAAATTTTGATTAACATGAATTGTACTGTTCATCCTGATATTGAACAATGCCAGTTTACTGCAAATATCAGAGCATTTAACTTCATGCAGAATCACTAAAATTACACAATTCATCTCGCTGGTCCATAAAGGAAGCTTTCAAGCAGGTCAGAAAAAAGACACAAGCCGGACTCTGGAAGGTAGGAGGGAGAGAGTTTCCCCAGACACGGAGTGCTGGGGAAGTGCTGAGACTATTTTGGTGTGTGTTTCCATCTGCACTTGAAAAGAATGTGTATTCTGTAGTCGTTAGATATAGTGTTCTATAATTGTCAATTACTTTAGTATGATTAATAGAAATGCAAAAGTTCCTAACCAAAAAATTTCTTAAAAAGGAATTATGGGTGTTTCGTGAAGTTATCTTACATTGCTTCTGGTGACATTGTACAAACATCTCCTGAACAGTGGCAGGTGTCAGGGTTGTCAAAACTCAGTCCCATATTAAGGCCAAGCATCTGCACAATGCTGACAGTATAGAACTCCAAAGATGAACCTTCCGGATACTAAATGTAAGAAAAATAAAGGGAAAAGAGTCAGCTAAGAATCCTATTCAGTTATTTTTTTAAAAAGCAATACTTACTATAATCAAAAATTAGTATATGAAATTCATTTTTAAAATATATTAACACATCCAAGGTACCTTGTCAATGCAGTTGGAGTGGTTATGTAAGCATCTGGGTGATAGATTTATTAAACACAAACAAATATAAAAGTCTCATTTCAAAACACTATTACTTAATGACAACAGTAGCTATCTTAGAGCATTAAACACCACATTGTGTTGCCTCTTTGAATTTTTTTAAACAAAATGCCTCTAATCTTTAATAACCAATTCTATATTTTCTTTGTGGAAAGCAGTCTCTGAATGGGTTTCAATGATTTCTGCCTTCTGCTATTTGTGTTCTTGAGTGCCAGCTGCATTTATGCACATACTTCTAGTTCACTGAATACAGTAGAGTGATGGGTCATCTTTTCCAAGACAGGTTAGAAAAAGACTGATTTCTTGTGTTCTATGAATCACTGTCCTCACTCTGGGGGAATCTAGCCAGCTACCACATCATGAAGTAGGCCTATGGAGAGGTCCACATGAGGTCTTCCAATAGTTACATGACTAAGCTTGAGAGCAAACTCTCTCTGGGTTGAACCCTGATGAAACTACAGCTCTACCTGACACCTTGATTTTGCCCAATAAGGTGCTCCTAGAATTTTAACCCATAGGACTGCATTTTTACATCTGCTAAGCTTTGGTATAATCAGCTAGATAGCAATAGACAACTCTACACCCTCATTAGGTATTGTTGTTCTCCTTCGTAACATTCCCAGTTTCTTTGCATATATGTTTATAGCAGCTTTACTCATAATTGCCAAAACTTGAAGGCAACTATGATGTGTATCCAAACACTAGGTGAATGAAGACATAAACTGTGGCACATTTCAGACAATGGAATATTATTCAGCACTAAAAAGAAATGAACTATAAAGTAATAAAAAGAAATGAAAGAACCTTAAATGCATACTACTAAATGAAAGAACCCAATCTGAAAAGGCTACATACTATATAATTTCAGCTATATATAAAAATTCTGAAAAACACAAAATTGTGGAGACAATGAGACAATCCATAATGGTTGCTGGTAAGGAGGGGAAAATTAATAAGCAGAGCCCAGAGGATTTGGGGGGGACCGTGAAAATGTTCTGTATGATACCATAATGATACCATAATGTGTATATACGTGTATGTATATAAACAGCATGGATGAATGAATCTTGAGGGCATTATAATAGGTGAAATAAGTCAGACAGAGAAAGACAAAAGCTATATAATCTCATTTATATATGGAATCAACCAAACCCATAGAAGCGAAGAACAGCTGGATGGTTGCCAAGGGTGGTTTTTGTGGGGTGGCAATGAGTCAAAGGTACAAACTTCTAGTTTCTAGAGAATCGATATACAGCATAGTGACTAGAATTAATGATACTGTATTGTATATTTGAAAGTTCCTAACAGAACAGACTTAAAGGTTCTCACCACACACACATACAGAAATACTAACAATGTGAGATGATGGATGCGTTAACCTTATTGTGGCAATCGTTTCGCCATATATACACATAAATCATTACACTGTAAACCTTAAAGTCACATAATGTTATAACAAGTATACACCAGAAGTGAGTTTAATCTTTTCAATCTGTCGATGGCAATTTGTTTCATTTTAGTTGCTACTAAAAGTCAACCAACTGCACAAGTGGGTCAGTATGAAAATCACTCCTTTTTCTGAGTGATTTCTGAAGCACTCTCACGTTAGTTCCCTTTCCAACTTTTTATATAACTTGTTGTAAATGGACTATAACTCTATAGTAAGAGCTCATTCTCACTTTCCTCAGAAGTCAGTAGATTATGAATATTTGGTAGCTGTTTTTTCCCTACAAGTCTTCTCCCAAATATAAATACTTAAGTGCAATAATAAAATAAAATAAAGTAGAAGACAGCCCTGGCTGGTGTAGCTCAGTGGATTGAGCGTGGGCCTGTGAACCAAAGGATCGTGTTCGATTCCCAGTCAGGGCACATGCCTGGGTTGCAGGCCAGTTCCCAGCAGGGGACACTCGAGAGGCAACCATACATTGATATTTCTCTCCCTCTCTCCTTCCCTTCCCCCTCTAAAAATAAATAAATAAAATCTAAAATAAAAATAATAAAGTAGAAAACAAATATTGATGAAAGCATGCCACCGTTCAAAACAAATTTTGACTTACAAAGGTCAAATACATTTTAAAAAACAGTATTACATTATGATCAGTTCAATTTTTAAATGTTCTATTTTTTAAAGATTTTATTTATTTATTTATTTTTAAACAGAGCGAAGGGAGGAAGAAAGGGAGAGAAACACCCATATGTGACAGACATGTTGATTTGCTGCCTCTCCCACACCCCTAGCCTGGGACACAGCCCACACCCCAGGCATGTGCCCTGACTGGGAATCGAACCAGAGACCTCTCGGTTTGCAGGCCAGCACTCAATCCCACTAAGCTACACCAGCCAAGGCTAAATGTTCTACTTTTTAAAAGCAATTATATAGTTTAATTTTATGCTTCAAAACTAGTAACTTAAAATACTATTAAAGAATGAGTAAACTATGTAATACATTTATTTATTCTTTAAAATATTTAGGAAATTTTGAAACATGAAAGTAATGAGAGCAAACTGGGTAATAATTACATACCAGAGCAACTCCTGCGACATGGTCCTTATTACATACTTTTTCAGGAAGTATAGCTCCTATAAAACTCAATTGTTTCTTGAAGCTAAAAAAATAAGAATTTCCTCATGATTCCATTTAAGGCGGTATTATTGATAAATTTTCATAGCAACAAACATTAGGGAACAATTACTATGTCCTAAGCACCATGCTACTCTGAATTAAGCTTATTTAAACATATTTTTCTCATACCTACAATGTTAAGAATATTTCAGTATATACTTGTACTTTCTTATTTGCTAAACACTCAGAAGTATAATAAGGATAAAGCCTAACAGGTATGCCAAGTGCATTTGCACTAATAGTTATAGTTTTTATTCTGGTTCCCTCTACATTTACATCCCTGAAAATTAAATTTTCTGTGACCTTCTTATTCATTTATTCTCTAAAAATGAATAGATCTTTCTGCGCATAAGATTCCAGATGATGAAACAATTCAATATATTATTAGAAAATAAAAACAAAAATTAATGAGATGAAAAACAAGATGTAGAGATAATATAACAGGTAGTAAAGTTTATAAGCTGAAAAACATCAAATTTTATCACAATTAATCTCTTTTATTTATTTCAATGCTTCTATGTAACTTCACTTTTATCAGGTTATTTTATGTCAGTTGATAGAAGTTCTTAAAGTCTCACTTTGCATTACATCATTGAGAACAAGAACTGTAACTTACATTTCCCCCCATCCCAATCATGTCTACTGAATATAAGGAATATAGTATGTATTAAATAAGTTCTTCTTTTTTCATAATTAACATGTGAAATCATTTTCCATTCTTTCTTTAACTCTATACAAATACAGAATACTATACTCACGCAAGTAAGTATGCAACATGATGAGTCTGAAAGACATGTTTGGTTTTCCAATCTAAAAATCTGAATAATATGTGATTAGGATTTCCAACAGTAGAAATTCTGTTTTTATTTGACCAGATTTCTATGGCAGATATTATAACAGTCAGTTTTAACTGAGAGAGCATCTAAAAAGAGAAGGTAAATGAAAAATTTTAATAAATTTGATTATATTAAACCTTTATAAAAGTACAATTAAGACATTTAGTTGCCTTGTCCTGGTGAATACCTAAGGCCCCAGCCCCTTAAAACTTAACAGGTGCCCTGAACAAAGAAATAGGGCCAAAATGAAAAGAACATAGTAAAACTTCAGAGAGAGAGCTAAGTGATGAGGAAATAGCCAACCTATCTGATGGAGAATTTAAAGCCCTGGTAATCAAAATGCTCATAGAACTATCTAAACTTGGCCTAAAAATGAAAGAACAAATGAAAGATACCCAAAATGAAATAAAGCAAAATATTCGAGAAACCAACAGTGACAGAAAAAAAACTGGGACTCAAATAACAAATTTAGAACAAAAGGAAGAAATAAACATCCAACCAGAGCAGAATGAAGAAATAAGAATTAAAAAAAATGAAGAGAGGCTTAGGAACCTCTGAGACGACTTGAAACATTTCAATATCTGAATTATAGGGGTGCCAGAAGGAGAAGAGGAAGATCAAGAAATTGAAAAATTATTTGAACAAATAATGAAGGAAAAAATTCCCCAATCTGCTGAAGAAAATAGACTTCCAGGAAGTCCAGGAAGCCCAGAGAGACCCAAAGAAGTTAGATCCAAAGAGGAACACACCAAGGCACATCATCATTAAGTTATCCAAGATTAAAGACAAAAAGAGAATCTTAAAAGCAGCAAGAGGAAAAAAGAGTGTTACCTACAAAGAAGTGCCCATAAGACTATCAACTGATTTCTCAAAAGAAACCTTGCAGGCAAGAAGGGGCTGGAAAGAAGTATTCCAAGTCATGAAAGGCAAGGACCTACATCCAAGATTACTCTATCCAGCAAAGGTTTCATTTAGAATGGAAGGGCAGATAAAGTGCCTCCCAGATAAGGTCAGGTTAAAGGAGGTCATCATCACCGAGCCCTTATTATATGAAATGTTAAAGGGACTTATCTAAGAAAAAGAAGATCAAAAATATGAACAGTAAAATGACAACAAACTCACAACTCTCAACAAATAAACAAAAAAAAAGAAAGAAAAACAACAAAAGCTAAGGAAACGACTAGAACAGGAACAGAATCAGAGAAATGGACATCACATGGAGGGATTTCAGTGAGGAGGGGGAAGGGAGGAATGAAGGAAAAAGGTACAGGGAAGAAGAAGCATAATTGGTAGGCATTAAATAGAAGGGAGGGGTCAAAATGGTATGGAAAACAGAGACCTCAAAGAACTTATATGTATAACCCACAGACATGAAATAAAGGGGGGGCTGCAGGGCAGAGAGGGGATAGAGCAGGAAAATGAAAAAACTGTAATAGCATAATCAATAAAAGATACTTTAAAAAAGACATTTAATTTGGTAGTTTGATCATGGAAACTCTTCAACGGCATAACCAAATACTATGTACATCAAAACATATTACATATACTTTTACAAAGTGTATAAACAAAAGGGGATTTAAGCACTTACAGTGTTAACAAATCCAATTATCTGAATAACCTTCTGTGTTACAACCTTTACATCAGAGCCCATGTAATCAAACTGAAAAAGATCAATTATTTTTAAAAACTAGTGAATGCCATTAATATATCACATACCCTTTATACATACAATGGACTATGTTCTAAATTAGTGATCGAACTACATTCTAATTGTAATCCAAGAAAGGAATAATGATATATAAATGATTTCTAAAAATAAATCATTTCATGTTACTATAATGTATATAATAAAAAAATTTAATAACATGGTTTTGGTTTTTGTCTTCTTTGGTGATATTGTTATTCTTTGAAAACTTTAGTGATATTTCTATAGTTATACATTTTTATTAAATTTATTGGGATAACATTGGTTAATAAAATTACATATGCTTCAAGTATACAATTCTACAAAGCACCTGACTAGCTCAGTCAGCAAAGCATGAGTCTCCTAAATACATGACTTGAAGCAATGTTTAATGCACTTAACTTGTGTCATTAATTATTATTTATGAAAACAGAATCATAACTTTTTAAATGGGGTATTTTATAAATAAGTGAGACTATATCAAACGAAAAAGCTTCTGCACAGAAAAGAAACCACCAGCAAAACAAAACAATACCAACTGAATGGGAGAAGGTAGTTGCAATCAACAGTTCTGACAAAAAGTTAATATCCAAAATGTATAAAGAACTCATACAACTCGAAGCCAAACAAAAAGACAATCCAATTAAATATAGGCAGAAAACCTGAACAGACACTTCTCCCAAGAAAACATTCAAATGGCCAACAGATAAATGAAGATTCTGTCCACCATGGTGGAAAGAAGAAGAAGGGGCTAGTCAAAGAACATGTAGGAATAACCCATGGACATGGACAACAGTGTGGGGACTGACTGTGGGAGCAGGGGGATGGGCTGGGCAAGGGAGGCAAAGGGGGGCAAACTGGGAGAACTGTAGTAGAATAACAATAAAAAATATTTTTAAATAAATGAAAAGATTCTCAACTTCACTAGTTATTAGGGAACTGAAAAACGAAACTAAGAGATACCACTTCATACCTGTTAGAATGGCTATCATTAACAAGACAAGTAAGAATTAGTGTTGGAGAGGTTGGAGAGAAAGAGGAACCCTCATTTACTTCTGGTGAGAATGTAAACTGGTGCAGCCACTATGGGGGTTCCTCAACAATTTAAGACTATGTGGGATATAAAACAGAAAGCGACAAATGAACAAACAGGAAAACAAACAAAAACTCAGGGACACAGACAACAGTATGGTGGTTACCAGAAGGAAGGAAGGTGGGGAGGGTAATAAAGAGTAAACAGGGTCAAATATATGAAGACGAAAGATGATTTGACTTCGGGTGGGGTTAAACAATGCCATGCACAGACCAAGTATCATAGACATGTGCTCTTGAAGCCTATGTAATCTCACTGACCAACATCACCCCAATAAATTTAATAAAAAGAAAAAAGAAAGAACAGAATTACCATATGACCCAGTAACCCCTCTTCTGGGTATCTACCTGAAAATTGTAAATACATTTATAACGATATATATAACTCTATATTCATTGCAGCACTATTATTCATGGTGGCCAAGACATGAAAATAACTGAAGTGTCTTCAGTAGATGATTGGATAAAGATGTGGTACATCTATACCCAGCCATACCAAAGATAAAATACTGTCATTTGTCTTGCTTTTAATCTTTATCTTTGGTTTTATTTATTTCCTTACTTGTTGCATTTTTTCCATTGCCATTTATCTCCCTTATCACCCCCTCCCCCTGCAATCACCACATTGTTGTCCATTTGCATGAGTCTTTTTTCCTTTTTGCTCCATCCTTCTACCCATTAACCCCTCCCACAGCGGTCATCCTGCTTTCCGAGTCTGTCTCTATTTTGCGTATTAGTTCGGTTTGTTCATTAGATTCCACGTATGAGTGAAATCATCTGGTATTTGTCTTTCTCTGACTGGCTTATTTCACTTAGGATAATGTTCTCCAGGTCCATCCAACCACAAACAGTAAAGTTTTCTTCTTTTTTATGGCTGAGTAGTATTCCACCGTGTAAATGTCCCATAGTTGTGTTATCCACTCATCTACTGAAGGACACTTTGGCTGCTTACATCTCTTAGCTATTGTAAATAACACTGCAATGAACTTAGGAGTGCTTATGTTCTTTCAAATTAGTGTTTTGAGTTCCTTCAGATATGTTCCCAGAAGGGGAATCACTGGGTCAAAAGGCAGATGCATTTTGAATGTTTTGAGGTATCTCCACACCGCCCTCCCCAGTGGCTGCACCAGTCTGCATTCCCACCACAGCTCACAAGGGCTCCCCTTTCTCCACAACCCCGCCAGCACTTACTTTGTTTTCTAATTGCAGTATTTATTCCCTCTATGTCCACTACAATTACTTTTATGTTTGAGTAGAAATCTTTTATCTTAACCTTGGCTTTTAAATTTGTCCCATATTTATGAAACGAATGTTTAATGTGTAATGTTTTTCTTCCCCTTGATTGCCTTCTTCTTGTTTATTATGCTTAAAATTCTGATTAGCAACTTCTAAGTGCTTTGTAATTTTACAGAAATATGATTTTAGAGCATGTGTTGGCTTGGTACAGGGTCAACTTAGCCATAATAAAAACCTCTCCAACTCTTTTCTGAGCCAGAAGCTTCATTTTTTTTAATCCCTGACAACAGTTATGTCCACACTTCCCCACCTCATGTTTACTTCTTTGAGAGTCAACGGACTTCCTTCTGAGAAAAATATTTTTCTTTATTACCTATGCATTAAAATATTAATAGCCAAATTTTTGTGGATCTAAACCTGTTACTTTTTTGTTTTGCAAACCTTGTTCACTGTGGCTAATTTTCTTATGGATTTTGAGCTTACACATGGCTCATATTAATCCATGGGAATCCTGTTTGAAGTAGCATTCCTCCAGGGAGAAATACCACTTGCTTCCCTTATGTGCCCTCAGATCTTACCAACCTAGGACAAAGACAGCCTCATCTCTCGGAGTAATGGTGGGGGGAGGGGAGGAATGGGGACAACAGTAACTGAACAACAATCAAAAAAGAGAATCCCCTAACCACCTGTGTTGCATGAATTCAAATTTTAGACACTAGATCTGAAAAATAGTCGTGAATTCTCAGTATGAACATTTTGTTAGTTTGTTTTCCTGTCATTTCATTTACTTAAAACTGAGAACAAAAGAGGTTAAGTTGTTTTCTTCCTCTGCTTGAAAGGGGCAGCATATGTGTTTAGTAGCCGACTCTACCAATTAGGCTGAGGCAGCTAAATACTATTGCACATGAGGATGAGGGTTTGGGGAAATTCTAATCTATACTTTCATTAAGAATGTAGTCCTTTTGGAAAAAAGTAAAAATAACAGACAAGGTTTAGAAAATGAAAAGATGCTTCACTTTACAAAAGCAACTGGAGATTATACATACAAAATAAATTAACAAAAACTTGGCTTATTCACAATTTTAAGAACTTATTAACTGCTTAAAAAGCAAAATAAACATAAAAATTTGTTTAAAATTGGTATTACATCATTGAAATCAAGTTAGAGACAAGTGTTAAATAATTTTAAAGTAATAATGTATAAAGAAGGACCTACCAGATTTTTATCCACAACAATATACATTTCCAGGTATTGAGGGAATAACTTGAAAAATTCAACTCTCTGAAAAGCACACAACATGAACACTGAAAATTTTCTAAAAATGTATCTTTTATTGAAATTATATTCAAAGATAGATTGAGAGACATGTTGCTACCAATTATATAACAAGGCTATTTTCAAATACAAAATTTAGGTACTCTTAGAAAAATTCCAATACAAATGTACCTGGGTTAAAAAGAATTTTTACTGAGATCACAAGCTACATAAGAACCCAGGTTCTTTTGATTTCAGCAACAGCTGAAATTAGCAATATTAAGTTTATAGCATATAGCGTTTCTTTCCTTGGCCATGTGATAATTTTCATAGTAATCTTCCATATAGACAGATTTATTAGTTTACTGGAAAACTAATTTTGGCAAACTATAAAGTTTTTAAAATATTGCTAAAGCATGATCAAAGGTGTTCACTAGGGCTAGGGATGTTATTGATGGCAGTTTGCAGGTGTTTGTGGAAGAGAACTAACCACTTTGCTTTACATGTACTTTATGCAAGCCACAGATGTTATTCATTCCTGAACCTTCAGGAAACACAGACTTAACTTACAAAGTCAGATCACATAATATTTATACCATGTAAATCATCAGACAATTGAGGAAAAGGAATTAATTAATACCCAATGGAATAAATAATACCCAAAATTATTTTTTTGGTTTCTTTAATCCTATATTCACATATCTGTTTCCGATTTGTCAATCACTATGTGTTTGCTAAACTTTCATCTGATAACAAACATAACAAAGAACTTAATTTCATTTTCTATTTATCTTAAAATTCATGCAGGTACATCTTGAAAAAGTAAAATCCAATATTTGCAAGTCACCAAATTTTGCGCTGAAATTAATTTTATTTCACAAAATTATACTGAGTAGATTAAAACTAAAAAGTCAACACTTACTTCTGATTTTTTTCTGTCGTGGTACTCTGAATTGTTATAACTGTAAACATCATTGTCTCTTAAGAGAGGAAGGTTAATGTTATAACCTCTGTCTTCATAAATCATGTGCACGAATTCCGATATGGTCTCCACAGGTTCTATTCCATATGAGATGTTTTTGAACTGCAACGTTCCCCTAAATGTTGAAATAATCAAAACATCTAAAATGATTCTACCAACACTATAATCTAATATTCTAATGAGAAATGTTGGTCAGGGCTTTTTTCCCACTAAAAGTCACCTTAGTTTTTCTACTTTATCTCTTTATGTTTGATGTGCTTCCCAGAACTGGACCAGTAATACCACAGGATATGTATTATTTTGCATCATAAATGTTCCAAGAAGAATATTTTAAAGAAACCATGACGGTGGCGTGGAGCCACATGCTGGAACAGGTTAGGATCCCTCCCTGGGGGACAGGCTTCCTAAGCCAGTCTGGGGGACCTGTAGGCCCACTTCCCTTTGGTCTTAAGTTCTCTCCCTCTTTCTGAGACACCTCACTCTCCCCGACACTTCATGTCCTGAATACTTTGTGTGGGCTGAACTGAATACACTACCTGGCTAAAAATGATGAGAGCTGAGCCAAAGTGCCTATCAGACTGAGGCTTTCTACAACTGTTAACCATCCTAGGAAATTACGAGAACATAAAACATTGGGGAAAACTAAAATACAGAGAGACCAAGCCACACCCCCTACACTCAAGATTGCTCAAAGCCTCAAGCAACAGATCCTATCATTAAGTTCATCATCACCAAGCCCTTATTATATGAAATGCTAAAGGGACTTATCCTTATCTAAGAAAAAGAAGTTAAAAAAACATGAACAGTGAAAGGACAGCAAACTCACAGTTATTAACAACCACACCTAAAACAAAAGCAAACTAAGAGGACAGCTAGATCAGGAGCGGAACTATAGAAATGAAGATCACATGGAGGGTTAGCAACAGGGGAATAGGAGAAGGAGAAGGGGGGAGAAGGTACAGAAAATAAGTAGCATAGACAGTAGATAGAAAATAGACGGGGGGGGGCAAGAATAGTATGGGAAATACAGAATCTAAAGAACTTGAGACACATGGTCATAAACTAAAGGGGGTAATGCTGGGGATGGGGGGTAGGGTGGAGGGGAACGAAGGGGGGAATAGAACAACTGTAATGGCATAATCAATAAAAATAAATAAATAATTTAAAATAAAAACAGCCTCCAATCAGGAACAGAGGCTGTCAGCGTGACCATCTATTTTATCAGTAGTTCTGGCTCACTCCTTAGGGAATTAAAGTAACAAAGGTAACTAGAACCAGAAAAGATATGTGGAGGATCAACTCATACACTAGCAGGATCTACTACTGGCAAATGAGGTTTATTTCCATTAGTTACAACCTGAGTCCTGAACAAGTACTGAGTGACACAACAGAATTTGGAAAGCCTGCAATGTATCCATAGTAATTGCAATCCATCTGAAAAAAAATACAGGAAGAAAAACAAATGGATAACGTATTTTTAAAACAGACATCACATATATGTTACTTTCATGTATTATCACATTAGCTACCTTAGTACATGAATGGGAACTACCTACTGACGCTGTGCCAGGGAGAAATAAGAACTAGTTCAGATTATTCATTTTAGTGCATGGATAAAATTACATTTAGTAATTTCAAAGTGTTCATATTTTTAAAGGAAATTCAGAGTAAGACATCTGTACAAAAAATGAACTTCAGTCTTACCTGATCTAACAAAGGGTGGGCCTTCTGGGTGTCGTTTTGGTCATAAGAATAAACGACAGAAACTGATGATAAAAATGATCTAGGCAGAAAGCAAAACAACATGCTCGAGTTGTAAAAGAGAAAACATGGAAAAAACATTCTTCATAATACGTTTTTCATTTTACTGGAGAATTTAAAGCAGTACCAATTACCTTGGCATATCCTATCTTCCAAATACTTCTCTATCATTTACAGTAAATTAGGCACCAAGGGAGGCATTTTAACTATAGTAACCTATACTACCAAAATTCATGCTAATGAGCAACCCAAATTCCTGGGAATATCAAACAGCAAAACAACATAGGTCCCAATTTCCAGCACAGAACTTTCAAATCTTTGTCTTTATTCCTCACTGACTCCAGATTTTAAACCTGAATCTCAAAATTAAAATGTAGGGTTAGAGTATAATCTAGATAGATTTCCTTGACATTGCTACAAACTCGTTCACTAAGCTTAGCTAAGCCCCAAGTTCTTCTCAATAAACTTGGTCAGAATTTTCTTCCATTCTCCTCAGTATCTATTTAGAAACTTGGCACCACCCCTGTCATTCATTCCACACAATCTCCATGTCACCTCACTTTCACATGACCTCTGCCCACCCTCACCTCTGACCTCTACCTCCAGAAGATGACTACCTTGGGTCAAAGCAAATACTATACTTGTGCTACAAATCCCATTCTGTGCCATATGTTGAAGATGCATATTTTTTCAGTCCCGTCATTTTAAACTCTTCTCTCTGCCTTTTATCCTAACACTATTTAAAAACTGTATTATCAACTCATTACTGTCCTAAATAACTCTCCCTTGATCCTGTGTCCTACTATAACTATTCCCTATATATTTCCAATTTGCAGCCTATTTTTAATAGTTCATTTTTATTGTGTTTTTTCTATTACCATTTATCTCCCCAATACCATCTTCTACCCCCACCCAGCCCTTTCCCCCACATCTCAATGGCCACACTGTTGTTCATGCATAATGTTTTCTTCCCTTTTTTTAGAGAGAGAAGAAGAAAGCATCAGTGTGTGAGAAGCAGCAACTGGTTGCCTCTCTCACATCCCCAGCCAGGGATCTGGGCTGGGCTGCAACCCAGGCATGTGCCCTGATCAGGAATGGAACCAGGAACCTTTCAGTTGACAGGGTGATGCTCAACCCACTGAGCCACGCCAGCCAGCACTTTTTTCTTTTTTTGCATCCATCCCTCCTCCCCTCAGCACCACCCCCAGAGCTGTCAGCCTGCAGACTATTTTTATCAAATAAGTAATCCATACCTAGTTTCTCCACTTTGTCAATATTTATTCACCATGAAACTGCTCTGAAAAGATTCATAGCCATCAAAATGTGAAATCCAAAAGGCAGTTTTTACATAATCATTGTACTGGACCTCTAGCACCTTTTCTGGAATCTGTGCCCACTAACTCTAATCACACATCACTCTTCTGCTTCTCTGCCAGTGGTCAGCCAACAATAATTTGTGGGCCGAATTTGGCTGGCTGCATGTTTTATAAATAAAGCCTACTGAAATACAGCCAGGCTTATTGGTTTACATCTTATTTATGGCTGCTTTTGCATTACAAAATTGCTTAGTTTCAACAGAGTATACAGCATATTAGCTAATAATATTTACTGAGTGGCTCTTTATAAAAGAAGTTTGTCAACCCCTGGTCTAAGAGGGCATAGTCTTGCATGTTCGCCTTTGTTCTACCTGTCCCAAAATATTCATCTTTACTGGGATTCAGTCTTCAGCCACCAATCTATTTATTAGCACTCTATAAATTCTCATTTAAAAATACAGCCAAACTATTGATTATTGCAAAATCTATATCCCAATTACCAATCTCTGCTCAGAGATTCACATTCCTATATTCATATACCTAGTGGAAAACCCTCTTGGATATCATATAGGCGCCACAAACTAAACTGAACTTTTTCCTCACATAAAGATCTCCCTTGTTCATACTCCTCAATTAATTACACTAGAACCCACCCATCTTCTTAAGCAACAACTAATTTACCCAAGATTCCTCACTGTTTCCCAATCACACTACCAAATCTGTCTTCAAGGTCTACTGAATGTTTTATTTCCTGTGCTATAAGCTATAGCATACATTCAAGCCACCAATCATCACTCACCTAAACAATTAGAGACCCTACCTCTACTTTCCCCCCCTCAGAATCAGCCTGCAAGACTCACTGAGCCTATGTAAGTATATTCTTACAAACATTTTGCCTTCCAACGTCCTTACCGTGGCGTGACAGATCTCCTACAAACTGGTTCTACCTATTACCCTTCCAAAATCTTTCACTCCTATCCTCCAGAAAATGTGTTTTTTAGTAATTCACATTGACTTCTGCACACCACAGAATCCATTTGGTCTCCCATCTTCACGTTTTACACATGACTTTCTCTAAACAGGATGCCCCGCTACACTACCCTACTTCTTTTCAGAGCTAAAGGTATCTTCTCCCAAGATACAAGCCATCTCTTACCTCTTTCTGAAAAGCCTTCCTTGATTTTCAGACCGCTGTTTACATATGTATCATAATAGCATGTTATAATAAAATTCTCTCCATTTTTTATTAATTGTTTGCATATATCTTTCTGCAGTCTAAGTTATTTAAATGTGCACCATATTTTATTGTCTTTAGTATGCCTAAAACTTTACCCAATAACAAGTACACAATAGATATCAAGGGCATATAAACACCAAATATACACCTGAATTGAAATGCTCCTATTCACTGCTATTTTTATACATTAAGAAACCACAGAATTAAAATTTGAAAGGATAAAGTAATTACTTACTGCTTTGTGAGAGAGACAAAATATGGTTTTCCTTTTATTGTAATCATATAAGCAACCTGTAACATGAGAATTCAAAATACTTCAATACTTGTAATTAATATGTTAAATGATGTTTGCTGTCAGTTATGCCTTTACAATGTTGTCGAAATTAATAACAATATATAATCATTACATATGCTTCCCTTCCCATGTGGATATTTGAAGCTTCAGGATTCTGAAGTGAGAGCAAGGTGGCAGAGCGCCCACATGCCTGCCAGGCACCATTACTCATATTTCTGAGCGAGAAGCTTACCTGATGGTTGCTCTGTTTCGGTTTAGACACATACCACCAATCCCCCATGGTCAAGGTAAACAGCAAAGGTGCCTACCTCACTTGAGAGAACCTTCCGCTTGCTTACTCCAGGCCATCCTGGAAAGTAAATTTTCCTGCTCATTGGAAGAGACACCCCCAAAAGAACGAACTACAGGCATGCACTAGACCTCTAGCAACATTGCACAGCAACTACCGTTGTTTTGCTTATTCAACAAAATAATGAAACTCCTCTGGAATAAAACGTAGGAGAACAGAGAGACATGTACGGAGAACTCTCTAGAACATATGGAAAACATGAGTCATTATTTATTTAGTGTTTAAAGATTATTTTAGCCAGAGAAATAGCCATTTGAACATTTTCAGTTCCTTAACTCTGTACCATGGCAGAAGCAGATTCTTTGCGACAGATTAAGGGTCTGAGAAGGGCCATTGGGTGGCACACTGGAAAGAAGTGGAGTCTGCAGGGGACCGTGCAAACTGTGCCCTCTAAAAATCCCTTGTTATTCAAGAAACACAAAAAGTAAAGGGCCAGGTGAGAGCGGCAGTAAAATTTTAAATCTACATATCTTAACAAGAAAAAAACTACTATGTAATTAACAAGAAATGGACAAAATTGATTCCCAGAGTTTCTACAACTTTACACGCACAACATCCAACTGTGTGGGCTAAACTGTATCCCTCTGGATTTATATGTGAATTTCTAACCACAGGATCTCAGAATGTGACCTTACTCAGGTAATGAAGTTACACAGATAATGAAGTTAAAATCAGGTATCATTAGGGTGGGCCTTAATCCAACGTGACTGGGATACTTGTCAAGAGTAAATGTGGACACAGACATACTCAAAGGCAGAATGTCATGTGATGATTCATAACAAGTACACATTCATCTATAAACCAGGATAGGTGCCTACAGCAGATCCTTTCCTCACAGTCCCCACTAGCACCTTGATCTTGGACTTCTAGACTCCAGAACTGTGAGACAATAAATTTCTGCTATTTAAGCCACATCATTTGTGTTACTTTGTTATAGCAGCCCTACAAAACTAACATAACAAATTTCAATAAAAATTAAAAGAAATGCTAAAGAACAGGATCAAATTATCCAAAAAAATAAAAAATTGAAATAACAAAGCCACAGGTAATATGGTTAACCATGGTAAAATAATTGGTAAAATCATGGTAAAATAATTAGCCATATTTTAACTATGATTAAAATGAAATAAGCATAAAATGGAGTAAAAATAGCCTCTTCAACAAATGGTGTGAGACCTGGACAGCTAAATGCAAAAAAATGAAACTTGAACACCGACTTACACCATACACAAAAATAAAGTCAAGGTGGATAAAAGATTTAAAAATAAGTCATCACACCATTAAAGGCCTAGAGAAGAACATAGCAGGAAAATATCAGATATTCCACACAGCATTATTTTCACCAATATGTCCCCTAGAGCAAGGGACATAAAGAAAATAATAAACATAAAGGAAATAATAATAATAATAAAGGAAATGGGATCCTGTCAAAATAAAAAGCTTCTGCATAACTAAAAAAACAGCATTAAAATTAGAAGAATACGAGAAAACATATTTGCCAATGATACCTCACACAAGGGTTTAATCTCCAAAATATACAAAGAACTTACACAACTCTAAGAAGACAAGCAACCCAATTAAAAAATGAGCAAAGGACTTGAACAGACACTTCTCCAAGGAGGACATCCAGAGGGCCCAGAGACACATGAAAAGATGCTCAGTATCCCTAGCCATCAGAGATGCAAATTAAAACCACAATGAGATACCACTTCACACAGGTCAGAATGGCCATCATAAACAAAACAACAGACAACAAATGTTGGAGAAGTTGTAGAAAAAAGGGAACCCTAGTACACTGTTGGTGGGATTGCAGACTGGTACAACCACTATGGAAAACAGGATGGAATTTTCTCAGAAAAATAAAAATGGACCTGCCTTTTAACCCAGCAATTCCACTGCTAGGATTATATCCTAAGAACCCTGAAACACCAATTCAAAAGAACCTATGCACCCCAATGTTCACAGAAGCACAATTTACAATAGCCAAGTACTGGAAGCAACCTAAGTGCCCATCAGTAAATGAATGAATCAAAAAACTATGGTACATTTACACAGTGCAATTCTATGCAGCAGAAAAAAAGAAGGAGCTCCTACCCTTTGGGACAGCATGGATGGAAATGGCGAGCATTATGCTAAGTGAAATAATGCAGGCAGTGAAAGATAAATACCATATGATCTCACCTTTAACAGGAACCTAACCAACAAAACAATCAAGCAAAATATAACCAAAGACACTGAAATTGAGAACAGGCTGACAGTGATCAGAAGAGCGAGGGGAGGGGATTATAGGGGAAAAGGGTGAAGCGTTTGTAGGAACTCTTATAAAGGACACATGGACAATAATAAGGGGAGTGAAAACAGGGGAGGGAGATAGGAAGGGCTGGGGTGGTGGTGGTGGGGAAGGCATAAAACTATACTTGAACAACAATAAAAAATATGTGATTTTTTATTTTTGGAATTTTCCATTTAATATTGTTCCACAGTTGACCGTGAATAATTGAAACCACAGAAAGCAAAATCGTGGATGGGGAGGAACTGCGGTAGCTTGGGGAATCATCCGAGCCAGGACTAGGGGGCCAGAAAACTCAGTAATAATGATAAACACTATTTGAATGCACTATTTTAAATAACCAAAATTAATGCAAAAATGTATGACAAACAAAAATACCAAAATTTTAAAGGAAGACAGTATCTGAACCTGACTCACCTCACTTGCCTCATCTTGGCCCTGGGGGAACCCCAGCTTTTTGCCACCCTCTTAAATTTTGCACCTGAGTCAAGCTCTTTGCTTGCCTCTTCCTAATCCTGGCCCTGGTTGCTCCTATCCTTCAAATCCTTCATCCTAAACAGAAATACATACACATACAGAGTCACACATATTCATACACATGAAAATGCTCCATGTTTCGATTCTGGTCTGAACTGCCAGCTCTGCCTCCAAGAACTGAGTCCCTGCCTACATTCAGCAATGCTGGTCTTCACAGTAAAAACAACACATTTAAGATATACAAATATTATTTCCCATTACATTGTTTTCTGGATCTTTTTCGGTGTCAGAAGATGAAATCTTTTCAGGAATTGTGGTCTGCACAAATGTTTTATGAGGATCTAAAATAAAAATAAGCAAAGTTATTTTGGTATCTGTTATCTCACATTATCCATTTCTAAATCTAATTCTGCATTTGTTTCTCTATTATTACCAAAAAAAAAAATTTTGTTTAATCTATGTATCTACTCTCCCTTTCCACTGTCTTTTTTTTTTGTCATTCTTACTACATATTTCTTAACCCATGCCAAGATCTCATGATTCTATTTTGTCTTTATCTATCACTATCCGTAACACACACTCACACACTGATTAGGCAGTTCGACAATTGGACTGTGTAACACTGAGTAACAAATACAGTGTTACTGTGTGGCAAAGAAGTGTGGAGATGGGAACCACACAGGTACATGGAGAAAAGGGGATCATTTTAAGGGAAAAGACAGAATATTGAACACAACTTCCAGTGGAGCAGCTTGAGGACAGCAGTCAGCCAATCAGGAAAGTCATAGATAAATAGCTTCTTCCTGGCAACGCAATTATTTTTACAACAGAATTTTGAATGTGGGAGGGCCCATGTCTCATTTTTGTCTGCTTTACAGACAAGAAAATCATTCCAGAGAAGTGAAAAGATTAGACCCTGAAGGAAAGGGTAAGTATAAAGGAGCCTGGTTAAGAGACTGGGCATCAATCCTGAAGCAAAAAGTACAGCCCCTTAAGCAAAGTCCCCCTAGAAGCCTGGGTTGGGAGGAGGAGGAACAGTGACCTGTACTTACCGGGGCCTGCCTGCAGACCACGAATTCCTGTGAGAAGGACCAAAAGAAAGAACATGGCTCCGTTGTCTTGGAACCCCGCTGGCCGAGTAACAGCAGTTGAGTCGTTGGGACCAGTAAAGGTGTAGCTCGCGCAGCGTCCCAGAGCCAGGAGATGCGCCAAATGGAGTGAAAGGCGGCCGAGAGGCTGTGTCAGAAAACGCACGGCTCTCTGCTGCCTCCGGAGGTGAGTTGGCATAAAGCAGGTGGGCGGGTGAGGATTTGGTGAAGACTGTCAACGTTCACACATTCAATTTATTGTTAAGGAAGGAAAGGCTGTGTGATTTTCAGTCCTCAGATTAGGGTGGTGTTCAATGGGGCTTTTGTTTGGATCATTTACTTAGGATAAAGAAGAGGAGGAACAAAGATAAAAAGGCTCAAGTTACTCATAGCAAACAAATTTCTGCCTAGTATATTATCACACTACCCAAACAGGAAAAACGCATTATTTGCAAAAATTGTTGCAAACACAGCTACTTTTCTAAATTTAATTGTTGAGTATTCCATTACTGGACACCTATTTTACACAGAAAAACCCATAAAATCCTCATTCAAATATATATGCTTAAAAAAAAAAAACTTCTCTAACCCTGGCTGTGTGTCTCAGTGGACTGAGTGCTGGCCTGAAAACCAAAGGGTTGCTGGTTCAATTCCCAGTCAGGGTATAAGCCTGGGTTATGGGCCAAGTCCTCAGTGGGGGGCATGTGAGAGGTAACCACACATTGAAGTTTTTCTCCTTCTATTTCTCCCTCCTTTTCTCTAAAAATAAATAAAGCCTGTAAAAAAACAAAACTTCTCTAATATCGCATTATTATTGCCACACTAATGTGGGTCCTACTTTTACTTCTTTATGTAACAAAATGGCAACGAGCTCCTTGAGTTTTCTTTTTGCCTCATATACCCCAGGCTGGGCGCTACAGAAGCCAATGACTTGGAAATACCAAGAGCAGACAAAAGAAAAAATAACAAAAAAAACCCCTCCTCTCCCTAGCTAAAGGACCAAAAAAGGGTTAATATAGCAAGACAAAAAAACTTCAATTTACCTACTCGCTAAATCCCACAGGAAAGAACCACAGCTCCATTCCAACTCCATCAGCGAAGGCGGAGTAGGAAGCCTAGAGGCCGCCCTGCGGGCTCTAACGAGATGCCACTCTCCCCCAAGCACCAGGGTGGTCTCAGAAATGACCAAGTGGGTAGATGGAACTTTATACCTGCCCACAATGCCATCTAAGGTGCTGTCGGAGACTTTTTTAAGGAGTCTCATGAGATAACCAAAATGTCAAACCAAGAACAAGAATCTCAAACTGAATGAGAAAAGATAATAGCCAAAAGATGACATGGAGAGATGTTGGAATTATGACAATTTTAAGGAAGCCATCATAAAAAGCTTCAATGCAAAGTTAACAACATACTTGAAACCAATGAAAAAATACCAAGTCGCAGCAAAGAAATAGAAAATACAAAGTAGAACCAAATGGAAATTTTAGTACTGAAAAATACAATACCCAAGTAAAAAACTCACTGGGTGAGTTCAACAGTAGAATGGAGAGTACAGAGATAAGAACTGATGAGCTTAAGATAGAGAAGCAGAAATTACCCCTCTGAACAGTGCAAGGAAAACAGACTGTAACAAACAACAACAAAAATAAGACTTTAAAGACTTTGGGACTATAATAAAAGTGCTGCCATGTCATTGGAGCCCCAGAAAGGGAGAAAGAGGGTGGGACTGATACAATATTTGCAGGCCAGAGGAGATTGGCAAGGAATATTCAAAGTGATGAAAAGCAAGGACCTACAACCAAGTTTGTTCTACACAGCAAATCTATCATTTAGAATTGAAGAATATGTGAAGAGCTTCCCAGACAAGAAGAAGCTAAAGGAGTCCATCACCTCAAGATAAGTAATAAATGAAATGTTAAAGAGCCTCCTTTAAGGATCAGAAAAAGAAAAAATATGAACAATAAGATAACAATAAATACATGTCTATCAACAACTGAACCTAAAAAAAAAAACAGGCCCCATAGCAACAGACTCAGATACAGAGAACATTTTGACGGCTACCGAATGGGAGGGGGGTTGGGGAGATTGAGGAAAAGATAAAAGGGATTAAGTACATATTGGTTGTTACAAATAGTCATGGGGATATAAAGTATAACAGGGAATATAGTTATTAATATTCTAATAAGTATGTATGGTGTCAGATGGGTACTAGACTTATTGATATGATCACTTATAAATTACATAATGTCTATTCACTGGGGTGTACATCTCAAACTAATATAGTTCAACTGTAACTGAAAATTTTTTTAATGATTTCAATGTAAAAATAATATAGTCCTAGTTGTTTATTTTTCCTTTTGTCTCCCTTGCCTGAGGAGATATATCAGAAAAAAATATTCTACAAGCAGTGTCTGAGATTTTATCACCTATGTTTTCTTCTAGGACTTTTATGCTTTTGAGTCTAACATTTAAGTCTTTCATCTATTTTGAATTTATTCTTGTGTGTGGCATAAGAAGGTGGTCTGGTTTCATTTTTTATGCACATATCTCACCAATTTTCCCAATACTATTTATTGAATAAACTATCTTTAGTCCACTGTATGTGCTTGCTTCCAAATATTGACTATAAAAGTGTGGGTTTATTTCTGGGCTCTCTATTCTGTTCCATTGATTTATGCGTCTGCTTCCATGACATTACCATGCTGTTTTGATTACTATGGCCTTATAGTATAGTTTGATATTAGGAAGCAGGATTCCTCCAATTTTGTTTTCCTTTCTCAAGATCACTTTTGCTATATGGGACCTTTTGTAGCTCCATATAAATTTTTCAAATATTTGGTTTAGTTCTGTGAAACATATCTGCATGGGAATTGCATTGAATCTATAAATTGCTCTGAGTAGTATGAACATTTTAATAATATTAATTCTTCCTATACAGTATGTGCTTCCACTTACTTGTATCTTCTTCAATTTTTTTCTTCAGTGTCTTACAATTTTCTAAGTACAGGTCTTTTACATCCTTGGTTAAATTTATTCCTAGGTACTTTATTCTTTTTGAAGCAATTGTGAATGAGATTGTTTTCTTAATTTCCCTTTCTGACAATTCATTATTGTTGTATAAAAATACAACTGATTTCTGGATATTAAGGTTGTATCCTGCTACTTTATTGAATTCATTTATCAGTTCCAGTAGTTTCTTGGTGGACTCTTCAGGGTTCTCTATGTACAGTATCATGTCATCCACAAAAAAGACAGTTTTACTTCTTCATAATTTGGATGCCTTTTATTTCTTCTTATCTGATTGCTATGGCTAGGACTTCCAGTACTATGTTGAATAAAAGAGGTGAAAGCAGGCATCCCTGTCTTGTTTCCAATCTTAAGGGAAACGCTTATAGTTTTTGGCCATTGAGTATGATACTGGCAATGGGTTCGTCATATATAGCCTTTACTACATAAAACTAAAAAGGACATCATCAACAAAAAAACACAACCCACTAAATGGGAAAATATATTCGCTGATATATCTGAAAAGGGGTTAATGTCCAAAATTTGTAAAGAACTTTTAAAACTCAACACCAAAGATACAAACAATCCAATTTAAAAATGGACAAAGATCTTCAACAGATACTTCTCCTAGGAGGACAGACAGAGGGTCCAGAAACATATGACAGGATGCTCAGCATCACTAGCCATCAGAGAGATGCAAACTCAAATCACAATGAGATATCAACTCACACCTGTCAGAATGTCTATCATCAATAAATCAACAAACAACAAGAGCTGGCAAGGATGTAGAGAAAGGGGAATCCTTTTGCGTTGTTGGTGGGAGTGCATATGTACGGCCACTGCGGAAAGCAGTATGGAGATACTTCAGAAAATTAAAAATAGAACTGCTTTATGACCCTATAATCCACTTTATACAAAGTGGGAATTTATACAAAGAAACCTGAAGTACTAATTCAAAAGAATATAAACACCCCTATCCTCATTGCAGCATTATTTACAATTGGCAGGATATGGAAGCAGCCCAAGCCCCCATCATTAGATGAATGGACAAAACAACTATGGAATACTAATTTACATTCATACAATGGAATACTACTTGGCCATAAAAAATAAGAAATGTTACATTTTGCAACAGCATGGATGGACCTGGAGAACATTACGCTGAGTGAAATAACTAGAGAAAGACAGACAACATATGATTTCACTCATATGTGGAGTCTAACGAACAAACAAGCAAAATAAAGACAAACTCACAGAGAGAAGGCTGACAGCCCCAAGGTGAGGAGGACTGGGTAGAGGGCAGAGGGCTAGAGCCAATAGTGAAAGGGACTCATGGACATAGACAACAGTGGGCATTGCAGGGGCAAGGGGAAGGGAGTTATAAGGGGGATAAATAGTAATAGAAAAAATACAATAAAAATTAATAATAAAAAAGGCAGAAATCAATGAAGCAGAAAACAGAGATGCAACCGAGAAAAGACAGTAAAACCAAGAGGTAGCCTGAAGATACTAGATTGATTATATGGAAAAACTCTTATGAAGATTGACAGAGAGAATAAGTATCACCATGATCGGGAATGAAAGAGGGACCATAACTATAGGTCCTACAGACATTAAAAAGGATGTTATGAACAACTTTATGCCAAAACACTGATCATTAAATGAAATGGATATACTCCTTTAATATAACAATATCTTAAATTATCACAAGATAAATGGAAAATCTGACTAGTCCTCTATCTGTTAAAGAAATTGAATCTATAATTTTAAATTTTCCCACACATACAACCCCAGCTATGTTGGTGAATTTTGCCAAATACTTCATTGAAAAACAAACAACTTTATACAAAGTCTTTCGGAACACAGAAAATGAGAGAACTGCCCTGGCCGGTGTGGCTCAGTTGGTTGGGCATCATTCCACAAACTGAAAGTTCTTGGATTTCATTTCTGGTCAGGGCACATGCTGAAGGCAACTGACTGATGTTTCTCTCTCACATTGATGTTCCTCCCCCTCTCTTTCTCCCTCTCTTTCCCTGACTCTGGAATCAATAAAAGAAAAAGAAAATGAGAGAAACTTCCTAATTCAATTTACCAATACTGAGACCAAACTCTGATAAAAGGTTAATCTCTGCCCAAAACCCAAGCCCAAGCTCTCTGGGAATTGTAATGACATAGGAGCTTCATTTATCTAATATGGCTTTTTAATGAACTCAAGCTAGCTTTGGACCTTCTAATAGCACCAAGACTCACTCACCTTCTTTCAACCAGACCCTTCCATATTTACACAAACTGCATGTCCACTCCCTTAATCATTAAGCCCTTAGAACATCAGGTTCTAGTCAACTCAAACTATCTTAAGAATAGAGCCTCAGGTCTGCTGCTCAAGGGAACAGAATTTTGGATAAACTAAAGATGATGTCTTAACTTCAGTTTCGTTTCAGCCCCAGGCCCATGAAAGCTGAATGACCCTCCCAATTACACCTTCATGAAACCAGATAGAATGATGCCATGGCTTTCATCAGGACCTGACTCAATGATCAACTACCCCTGCCCTGGTCGCAGCCAATCAGTACAGCTCACCACCCCAACTCCTTACTCACCAAGACTAATGATTCTTCCCTATATAATCTATCCTCTAGGGGCCACTGGGGAGCCAGGTCTTACACCTGTCTCTGGGCTTAGTGTTGTTTTCTTATATAAACCCTTACTTTGTTGCTGCAAACTACTGATCGTGTTTCATTTGGCTTTACTGCACACACGCAAATGAACCCCATTAATTGGATAAGAGATTTACTCTGTTGATCTCCCAGGAGAGGGGCAAGAGAAAGGTGTCAGAGAAAGCAAGGGGCTTGGATGCTGAAGTACAACCTCCAAAGCAAACACAGCATCTCTCAGAAGCCTGACTTGGAGTTGTGGGGAGGGTGAGGCGGGTTCAATGAAATCTGCATGCAGCCAGTGATCCGTGAGAAGGCCCAGGAGGAGGAACAGGGCCCACAACCCAGAGCCCTTCCTGAATAAGGGTAGTTGGTGCCAATCTCCAGCATCTGGGACCTCAAGTGGTGCTTGGAGAGCTGTGGAGAAGAGGTCTGGGAGCCGGGTGGGGATGGAAATGGCCTGGCTGAGATTACCTTTAGTTCAGGGCCCTAAAATGACAGAACTGCAGGCTCGGGCATGGAGGAAGAGAGAAAAACAGACACACATGCAAGTTGGCCCGCACTTAGTTTATTGTTTCCTTCAGCTGTGACAAGGAGAGGGAAGGCAGAATGTTCATTTCTCAGTGAGACAATCAGGATTATCCATCGCCTTCTGAAGGAATTACCAGTTACTGGGGAAGAGAACAAAGACACACACACTTAAGGTGCTGATGGCAAACAAAGTCCCTTCCACAGCAAAACACGCGAATGGCCGGGCTGCTGCCAGGCAAAAAAAAATCATATAGCAGGAAGAAATTCTGGAAAGAATTCTTACCATTTTGCTTGTGAGATTATTTAGCTATAACTTACTCTGTCATTTTCTGTGATTTTTGTGAAGTCATATTTAATAAAAAGTATTGCAAATGAGAAAAACTATCATTTTCCACATACAATAATTGTTCATGAATATAACAAGTTAATTTTCACATTTTTTAGAAATTTAAATACAAGTTAATTTTACTTTTTTCATTATCTTCTGTCAATAATTTGGGGGTTTTGTGTTATAATCAGTGTTTGTGGCACCTGGAAACTCACAGACCTTAAGCACTGTGACTACAGTGCCTACTGAGTGAAGTGGCCCTGATTAGAAATTCATTCTGTAGACTAATTTACATTCCTCACCTCCTATTAGATTCAATAGTTTAATTGCATTCTGTCATCAAGAACAAGTTCCCAACAAACTTAGTATAACTTTATGAAACTGAAGAAAAAGACTAAGTAATTTAAAAACCCATTAAAATAACAAAACTAGAAAAGATTAATAAATTATTTTTGGTATACTACTTTACCAATTTATCTACCCAATAAATAACTTAGAAATTAATTGTGGACTATGAATTTTATCTTAATTTCTAACAATTTATTTTAAGAGACATCTCTTAATGTACTTACCTAGTACTTTATATTTGGGTAGTTTCCTGTCATTCAGATCTAAGTAAATAAGGAAATAATGCTTTTAGTTGATAAAATGCAATCTGACAAACAATTTTCATGGCAGTTTCTTCCTCTTTCCTTTCAAAATTTTGGCAAAAGAGAAATTGCCAATTTTATATTTTATATTATTATTAAGCATCAAAATCAAATTATTGGACCTCTTTTCTATTTTTATATCCACAGATTTCTTATGTCAAAGCCCCAAACAAAAAGAATAAGAAAGAAAAATAATAAATTGAAGGCAAATTAAGTGAGGCTAATTGACAGAGAAGATAATATAGTTAGATTAGCAAGAGACTTCAGTGACGATATAGTTTTACCCTTTGCATCCTTTCCCTGTCTGCTATTTTTTATAGCCTCAAAACTTAGATTTTTCCTACTATTCTGACCTCCAAATACCCCTAATATATTTAACATAGTTAATTCTCCACCAAGCCAATAAAGGGGTTTGTATATCCAGATCTGTGAGACTACTGACGTTACAGCCCATTGGGTTTCCAGCTTCTAAAAAAAAATCGTTCTGGTAGTGTTTACTCAAGGAATTCATTCTAACAACCCCTCCCACGGTCTTTCCACTTAAAAAAAGATACTGAAAATAAAAATTTGAAAATAGGGAAGAAAAAGAAACAGTAAAGTACAACTATGTCTGCTTAGCTTATTAAATTTAGGTGAAAAAAATAATACAAGAATGCTTTTCTTGGGTATGCTAAACACAAATTAATGGGTTAACATTCATCCAAGTTACATTCTGCAGATGCAATGTAGTGTTCTATAGATGATGCTCTCTTGGCTGCCCCTGTCTAGTTGAATACCACATCTAGTAAAGGATATGTGAATGACACATTCTATAATGAGAGACAATGTGAGAAGAAAATTGGAGTAGTTACAACATTAATTATGTGTATACCTGAAGTTCAAGAGTAATCACTCATTCATTAGACAAGTAGTTATTGAGCATTTACTCTGCTTGGTGCTAACTATAAACTGGTTAGCAAAACATGGGTAGCCTTTACCCTTGTGCCCTTTCAGAATACACTGGGAAAGTAATGCCGCTAGGTGAGCAAATGGTTGGAGGAATCGCAGTGTTTGGCACCATTACCACAAACCTCTTGCTAATGGTGACAGGGAACAGAGACAATAAAGAAAATCAGCATTTTTTCCTTCATTCTTAGTTTGGAGAAAATAACTAAGGTCTATAAAGACGTGACTACATTAGGAGACATCCAAAACCAACAGAGAGAATAAAGGATATGGAATGGCTATAGCTTCCCTAGTAGAGGGACCGACTTCATAGGGGAGGATAGAAACCATATAATGGCCTCGGGTAACCTGAAAACTTAACCTAAGGATATGCAGACAAGATATTCTGGAAAACCAGTGGACTGGCTGTAACTAAAAAAGATACTTTAAAGAAAAATGGCAGACTGTACAAGAAAACTAAAACTATAGAAGGGAGACAGGAAGTATTTATTTGAATGAATAGTTGTTCCTTATAAATATCTGATGACTTCAGAAGGGTCACAAGGCCACAACTGTGGAGCATGGGAAACTGAACTTCAGGGACCCCTTGTTGACACAATTGTGGGCTGTTCATGGCAGTGGGAAATGTGGAATTCTAGTGCATTTATGGTACTGTCTCTTAGACGAACTCCTCTTAAGTGAACTAATCATTCACTCAGTTGTTCATATTGAGTTTATGGGTATAAATGTGGCCTGGAAAAAGTAATATTTCCCTTTGTGTATCCCATCACAAATGGTGCAAAAAAATGCCCTGCTTCTGAGTTAGGTTCACAGAGTAGTTATAAATACATCATCTGTTATTAGATTTAACTTGTTTTTTTCTATGTATCAAAAGAGGAAACAATCAGTACAAATTTAGTCAACTGAAGAAAAAAGATTGAGGTAATACTTGTTCCAAGAAAGAGAAATATGCATACTTTAATATGGTACTTTATCAACTGTGGCTGCTCAAAAAATATTAAGCAATTATTTGTTCATTCTAATTTTTGTCATATACTTATTTATAAGAAACATTTCCTAAATTGCTTACCTGCTGGTATACATTTGGGCACTACTTTCTGAACTGGATCTAAATAAAAATAGAAGTCAAAATAATGTCTAAAAGTTATATTTTAAAACACATCTATTTTAATAATGAAGATTGGGGTATTTTATGCCAAAATTAACTTGTATTAATACCTGGGGCATGCAAATAAATAGCATTCTCATTTACCCAACATCAGTTACAATATGCTGGGGAAAGTTTAAATCGTCCAATGAAGAAAAGTATCAAGATATCAAAGATCTTTTTTTTCTTTATCACTGCTAAGCACACAAGTCTGACTCTGAATGCCTAAATGTGGCCTTCAGACTCCAAGCTCTTTTTATTCCTCAATATGTAAATTGCCACATTTTACAAATTAAAACTCCCATTTACTTCTGGGCAGTCTAGCAGACTGATCTGACAGGGAAACTTTCCCATTCTGTTCCATAAGGAAAACTTCCCCTTTGTCTTCCACAGAAAAGTAGATGAAAATAGCACAAAAATGTTGATATTCAATTGTGATTAAGAGCTGGAAAACACTTTTCCTTCTGTCAGTAAAATATGACAAGCTGGAAGTTCAGAGGGAAAACAGGAACTAAAGCTGAATGACCACAAGGGAATCCAAATTACTTACACCCTAAAAAAGGTTCCTTTAATAACCTTAGTTTGGAAGGAGTTAAAGGCACAGACACTCAGATATTAGAAAGCTAGAAGGAAGCCCAAGCCTGGTAGTCCTGAATGGGGATAATACAAACTATACCACTAGGAGTTGAACAGGCAAATTGTCCCAGCCATGTAAATAGAAAAGGATCACCAAGACATGCAGAATCCCAGGCCTGTGCCATGTATAGCAGCAGGACCTCAATTTGCCAATTCTCGTATCCATAAATAAAAACCAGCAAGCATAGAAAATATTGAAACATTCAGGCCCCAAGACAGGCAAACCTGAAATGTCCTCCTCTTCCTTACATACGCTTCTACAACCTGGGGCACACGGGACTCCCAGGAGAACAAGTCTAAACTGCAAACTACTGTGTGGTAAATTCGCACAACCACAGCACAGCAGAAAACTTCACACAGGGTCAAAAGGTAACATGAAAACCTTTAATAGATATGTTTAGACTTCTGCCAAGATGGAGGCGTAGGTGGAAGCACTGTGCCTTCTCATACAACCAAGTTTAAAAACAACAAAGTTTTAGCAACAAAAATGCACCCAAACCACAGAAAATTGAACTACACGGAAGTCTGACAATGAACCCTTCAGCCAAACCGGTAAGAGGGGCAGAGCCAGCAGCTGATTGGGGTTGGGCAGGAAAGATCCACTGGACCGACCCGGGTGCGCAACCCAGGTGCGCCAGCAGCCATGGGTGGATCCCAGGTGTGGAGTAGTGGGCAGGCCCACTGAGGGCTGACCACAGTCACACATATACGCGCAGATAAACAGGTAAAGGAGCAAACAGTGAGACAAACAGTGCAGGCCCCAGTAGCAGGAAGCAGCAGAGGAAACTGCTATTGTCCTTCTCTGACCCCGGCCCCACATACAATGTCACAAACCAGCAACCTGGGTGGCCCCGCCCTGGTGAACACCTAAGGCGCCGCCCCTCATACATAACAGGCGCAAACAGGCCAAAACATTATGGCTCAAGAACAACTCAGAGCCCCAGAGCCGATAAATCTAAGCCAGGAAGAAATAGCCAAACTTTCAGATGCACAGTTCAAAACACTGGTGATCAGGATGCTCACAGAACTGGTTGATTTTAGTCACAAATTAGAGGAACATTTGAAGGCTAAACTAATTGAAATGAATGGAAATGCACAGGAAACCAACAGTAATGGAAAGGAAAATGGGACTCAAATCAAAGGAGTGGACCAGAAAGAGGAAAAAAATGACCAAACAGAAAAGGATGAAGAAACAAGAATTCAAAAAAATGAGGAGAGGCTCAGAAACCTTCAGGACATCTTTAAATGCTCCAACATCCAAATTATAGGGGTACCAGAAGGGGAAGAGGAACAGCCACCAGTGGAAAACTTATTTGAACAAATAATAAAGAAGAACTTCCCCATTCTGGCAAAGGAAATAGACTTCCAGGAAATCCAGGAAGCTCAGAGAGTCCCAAAGAAGTTGGACCCAAGAAGGAACACACCAAGGCACATCATCATTATATAAGCCAAGATTAAAATGAAGGAGAGAATCCTAGAAGCAGTAAGAGCTAAGGGGACAGTCACCTACAAAGGAGTTCCCATCAGACTGTCAGCTGATTTCTCAAAAGAGACCTCACAGGCAAGAAGGGGCTGGAAAGAAGTATTCCAAGTCATGAAAGGCAAGGACCTACATCCAAGATTGCTCTATCCAGCAAAGCTTTCATTTAGAATGGAAGGGCAGATAAAGTGCTTCTCAGATAAGATCAAATTCAAGGAGTTCATCATCACCAAGCCCTTATTATATGAAATGTTAAAGGGACTTACCTAAGAATAAGAAGATAAAAAAGATGAACAGTGAAAGGACAGCAAACTCGCAGTTATTAACAACCACACCTAAAACAAAAGCAAACTAAGAGGACAGCTAGATCAGGAGCAGAACCATAGAAATGAAGATCACGTGGAGGGGTAGCAACAGGAGAGTGGAAGAAAGAGAAGGGGGGAGAAGGTACAGAAAATAAGTAGCATAGATGGTAGGTAGAAAATAGATAGGGGGAGGGCAAGAAGAGTAGGGGAAATACAGAATCTAAAGAACTTGAGACACGTGTTCATGAACTAAAGGGGGGAAGGGTGGGGGAGGGGGTGTGCAGGGTGGAGGGGAATGAAGGGGGGAATAGAACAACTGTAATGGCATAATCAATAAAATATACTAAAAAAGATGTTTAGGATCTCCACAGAGATGAAGTCATAAATAAAGCAAGAAAAGGATAGCTGTTAAAAATATAGGTAAGAATGGGTGATTTGGAAACTCATGTGGATATCAATGTCAGAGAGAGAGATGGAAAAGCATAATATATGGACAGCCACATTAAGAAATGTGGAAGCTGAAACGAGAAGATCTTCCCATAAACAGGTATTTAGGTTGAGAGAAGAAAAAGAATGGGGAAGAATAAATAATTGAGGAAATAATGACTAAATTTTTTCCAGAATTAATGACCTTAATGCAGATATTTCAAGACTGTACTGAATCCAGAGCTAGATAAATAAAAACAAATTATATCAGGACATATCACAATGAAATAACAAAACATTCACTACAAAGAGGAAACCTTAGAAGCACATAAAGAAAATATGTATTGAGTGGAAGGGAATAACTAAATCAGACTAACAAGTGAGGTCTCAATAATGACAGTAGATGTCACATTACAACAACAAAATGCACTAAAAGACTGTGGAAAGCAACCTTCAGCTAAAAGTCTGTAACCATCTAAGCTATCTTTCAAAGAGGAGTGTGGAAAAAAAGGATATTCAGACATTTAACACAAATGCTTATAACCACTAGCTGAAGCTAAAAAGGGGGTACTTCAGGAAAAAGAAATTAAAATAAAAATGACAAAAGTAAATTCAAAAGTGACTAGTGATCACAGAAATTGGTAAATATGCTGTTAAATCCTGGTAAGTCTTCACATGATGCAAAGCGTGATGCCGTAGCAGCAGTGACGACATGACTGATGGAGGGGAGGCCACGGGGGAAAAACGCCCAGAAGCTGAGTCAAATCACAGTGGGTGAGAGATGAATGCCCAAAGTTTGCTGTTAAATGATCTCAGATCCTCTTGTTGTTTAGGCAAATACTGGAGATATTCATTGAGTTTAGGTATTTATAAGTTACTTATACTACTGTGGTATTAACAGAACTCCCACTAGAATTAACTCGACCTCTCCACATTCTTTGACTTCAACGGTCTCCCCCACTGACTCTCCACTAGTTACAGATTATTCCAAAAATAAATGTAAATCAGATGATTTTTGGTTCCATTTCTTTAAAAAAAAAAGACATTGGGATTTTTATGGAGATTGCATTAAGTCTGCACATTGCTTTGGGTAATATGGTCATTTTAACTGTCGATCCTTCTAATCCATGAACATGGAATATCTTTCCATTTCTTCTGTTTTAATAATTCTTTGTAATTTTCAGTATAGATCCTTTACATACTTTGTTATACTTATTCCTAGGTAGTTTATTGTTCATATCGTAATTAAAAGAGATTTTTTTCATTTCTTTTTCTGAAATTTCATTGTTAGGACATAAGAATGCAATAGGTTTTTGGAATTTATTTTGTATCCAGCCCCTATACTGTATTTGTTTACTGTTTCTAATGGTTTTTGGTGTAGTCTTTAGGGTTTTCTATAAAAAGAATCATGTCAACTGCAAAAAGTACAATCCTGAGGCAAAAAAAAATTAAGCCAAAGTTAACACACTCCCTGACTAATTATAATGCAAAGCAATGATGATCAAAACAGCATGGTATTGGCAGAAAAACAGATACAGACACCAATGGAACAGAATTGAGAGCCCAGAAATAAACCCACGTGTATATGGGAAAATAATTTTTGACAAAGGAGCCAAAATTTTCCAACAGAAAAACAAAAGTCTCTTCAGTGAATGGTGCTGGGAAAATTGGAAAGTCACACACACACACAAATACTAGATTACAGTTTTTTTCTCATGTATAAATATTAATTCAAAATAGACCAAAACCTAAGTATAAGATCTAAAACAATACATTACATAGAAGAAAACATACATACTAAACTTATGGACCTTGGTTTAAGAGATGATTTCATGAATTGGGCCCCAAAAGCAAGGAAAGTAAAAGCAAAAATAAATGAAGGGGACTGTATCAAACTAAAAAACTTCTGCACACAACAAAAGAAACTAACAAAACAAAAAGGCAATGAACTGAATGACAGGAGATATTTGCAAACAACAGCTTCCACACAGGTTAGTACCTAAAATATATGAAGAACTCATACAACTCAACACCAAACAAACAATACAATTAAAAAATGGGCAGAGGATCTGAACAGCCTCTACTCCCAAGAAGACATACAAATGGCCAATAGATATATAAAAAGATGCTCAACTTCACTAGCTTTTAAAGAAATGCAAATCAAAACTACCACCTCACACCTACTAGAATGGCTGTTCTCAACCAGACAAATCACAAGTACTGAAGAAGTTGTGAAGAAAAAGGAACCCTCATTCGCTGCCAGGGGAAATGTAAACTGGTACAGTCACTATGGGAAACAGTATGGAGGCTCCTCCAAAAGTTAAGAATAGAGATACCATAGGATGCAGCAACTCCACTCCTGGGTACCTACCCCCCAATTTTGAAAACATTTATTTGCAAAGACATATGCACTCCTATGGCTACAGCAGCATTATTCATGGTGTCCAACACATAAAAACAATGGAAGTGTCCTTTGATAAATGATGGAATAAAGAAGATGTGGTACATAGATATGAAATGTTGCCATTTCTGACATGGATGGACCTTGAGAATATCATGCTCAGTAAAATGTCAGATAGAAAAAGTCATGAATCATATGATCTTCATCATAGGTAAGATATAAAACTGAAAGCAAAAAATAAGCAAGAAAAACCAGTAAAAAGTCATAGACACAGGCAGCAGTTTGGTGGTTACTGGAGGGAGGAGGAGTGCAGGGGAGTAAAAGGTAAAGAGGTCAAATACACCGTGATAGAAGATTTGGCTTTGGGTGGTGGGCGCACGATTCAATATATGGGTCATGGTCATAGAATAATATATTTGAAACCTATATAATTTTATGGTTTTGTTTATTAAATGTATTGGGGTGACATTGGTTAATAAAATTATACAGGTTTCCTGAACATAATTTAATAATACATCATCTGTATACTGTATTGTGTGTTCACCGCCTCAAGTTTCCTTCTACAACCATTTTCCCCCCTTCCCCTTCTTTTCCCTCCCACCACTCCCCTTTCCCTCTGGGAATCACCACACTGTTGTCTGTGTCTATGGGGGGGCGGGGGATTGGCCAAAAATCCCCTCCAACCACCTTCCTCTCTTAGAGGTCTCAATCTGTTTTTTATCTATGAGTCTGTTTCTATTGTCTGTCGATTTATTTTGTTCATTAGATTCCACATGAGTGAAATCATATGGCACTTGTCTTTCTCTGACTGGCTTATTTCACTTGGCATAATGTTCTCCAGGTCCATCCATGCTGTCAAAAAGGGTAAGATGTCCTTCTTTTTAATAGCCAAGTAGTATTCCACTGAATAAAGGTAGCACAGCTTTTTCATTCACTCATCTACTAATAGACACTTGGGCTGTTTCCAAACCTTGACTATTGTAAACAAGGCTGCCATGAACATAGAGGCACATATATTCTTTCAAATTAGTGTTTTGGGTTTCTTTAGGTATATTCCCGGGAGTGGAATTGCTTTGTCACAAGGCAGTTCCATTTTTAATTTTTTTAGGTAACTCCACACTGCTTCCCACAGTGGCGGCACCAGTCTGCTTTCCCACCAACAGTGCATGAGGGGTCCTTTTTCTCCACATCCTTGCCAACACGTGTTTTTGTTGATGTATTAATGATAGCCTATACAACTTTATTAACCAGTGTCACCCCAATAAATTTAGTAAAGTAAAATTAAAATCTAGATGCTACTTCTGATTCTTTATCAAGCTTGATGACATTAGTCAAGATAGACACTATTTGAAACTCGCTTTGATCATCTATAAAGGAGAAGGTTCTGATATTAAAAGATAAAGAGTTAAAATTTCACAGCAATAAATAATAATGTATGGACTATAAATGGGAAACTAGTTGGGAGATGGCTTACAAGTTTTCATGGAGAAATTTGTAAAAAATGTTTAACTTGAAAGGAATACACACCTTGTGGTCGGCAAGGGAAGAGTGAAGGACAAAAAATGAAAAATAACTTAGTTTGCATATTAATTGGAGTTTCTTCTTTCTCATATATTTGTTTATTAAATGCGCTTTTACATATTTTGTGAACTTATAGGTTCATATTTCTAATGATAACCAGGGTATTTACTTCATTGTTGTGGATTAAATTGTGTCCCCTCCAAAAAAGAGGTTGAAGTCCTAACACCGAGTACTTGTGAATGTGACTTTATTTGAAAATAAGGTATTTACAGATGTAATCAGTCTAAGATAAAGTTATACTAGATTAGGGTGGGCCCTAAACCCAATGATTAGGGTCATTTTATAAGGAAACAGATTTAGAGATGCAGGAAAGACGGCCAGGTGGAAAGCACTGCGTTTGCCGGAGTCCTGCAGCAGCAGGCCAGGAACACCAAGGCCTGCTGAGGAGCACAAGAAGCTGGGAGAAAGGCACGGAAGAGGTTTTTCCTCAGAGCCTCCAGAAGGAACCAGTCTTGCTGGTAGCTTTGTTTAGGACTTTTGGCCTCCTACACTGTGAGGAAATGAATTTCTGCTCTGTTAAACACCTTCCCCACAAATAAACAATAAAGAAATGACCTGAACACTGTACTGGATGTGATGTCAGTCAAGGACAACAACGGTGTCAAGTGACATTATTAGAATTTAAATGTATAATTTTAGAAAAAACTGTCTCCCTGGTGCACACCAAACCAAAAGGCTGGACTAATGAACTAGCATCCCAAAGTGTACTCCAGTGGAAAGAAACACTTTCCTATGGGTAATGCTGTCGACTCTCACTCAGTGTGGGTGACTGAGGACCAGAAGAGAGATGAATTATGTTCATCTAGAAAATTTGAAATGCCAGCCCCTACACAAGTAAAGAGTTTTTAAGTGAGAGAGGGAGGCACAAAAACTCCCAAATGTTTTATATCTGCAGATGGGCCCCAAATCCAAGACTGTTAGACGTGAGAAAGTAAACATTTGTTGTATAATCATATAGAGATAGCCACCTTTCAGGCAATGGAGGGGAATCTAATTAAAACTATTTTGTAATGCTGAGAGGCTATGGAAAATACAGAAATTGTTCCCTTCTGATGCTTTCCTTCAGCAAAGTTTTCTTAACTGACCATGGTAAGCAGTCATTCACTCAGCTGTTCACAGGTATATATATTGAGTTTCTAGTTGACTCTCCAAAGAAAGAAGTAAACTTCCCCATTTATGAGTTAGCTCCATAAAAACGAGTGATCATCCAAGAGTAAACTCCCAACAGACATTAACAAACTGGAGGGACAAAGACATGTATTTACCCAGGTTAAGTGCTAGTTCCTAATCGGCAAATACTAATAGGTTTGGTTTGGTTTGGTTTGGTGTGGTACTGTGCCAATTTTTGCTGCTCAGTTAATACTTACCAATTAATTACTGATTAATAATTTGTTCATCTTTTTAACGTACTTATTTTAAGAAATTACTCCAAATTTACTTACCTGACAATATCCGTTTGGCTACTGCTTTCTGATCTGGATCTAAATGAGGACAAAAATAATGTTTCTAAGTTAATTCTTTAAAAAATGTGCCTTTGTAAATAATGAATCTTAGACAATTTTATAACCTGAATTAACTCTTTTATAGCACTAATCACCACCAAGGAATAACCTCAAATGATTACTAAATTAGGGTATGCAACTAAACAGCATTCTCATTCACACATATCCCATGTCCACAAAGAATATAAATTTCAAATCCCCGACTAGGGAGAGGACCAAGTAACACATTTGTTTTCCTCCATGTCACTACCCAGCACAGAATGTATGCTTGACCTTGAATGCCTGATTCTAGCCTTCTATCCTTCATAAACCTAATGCTTTATCCACAGGTAAACAAATGACTACAGGTCCTGATTCAAACCCCTCACCGGCTTCTAGACAAGCAGGCAGACTGGGCTGACAGTGTTCTGCCCCCTCCATCCCACACAGAGAGATATAACACACACGCAATACCAACCAAAATTTAGAAGGGACATTTCTACTATAGTTTTTTTTTAAGCAGAGAAAATAAAAAAAGCACAAAAGCTAAATAGGAGCTAAAGTGGAACAACTCCAGAGCTGCATAAATCAGCTGTACACATCAGCTCGTAAGGAGCTGAGCCCTTCTAGAAAGCTAGAACTGATCTTCTCTACACCTGACAGCCATGAAGGGCCTTACCAACCAGACAGAGGGACAGTAAATGCTCTTACCACTAGTCTTTGGGATAGGGCAGGGAAATTTCCTTAAATGTGTAGCTGAGAAAGCATCACCTGGAGACACAAGAACCCTAAGTGTTTAAAATGGTTTAAAGATACGGATAACACAGACGCCACACAGAGAAGCAGGAACCTTAGTCTTTAACAAGCACAGGTTCAGGATACCGGCTCGTGCTTCTTTAGAATCCTAGATCTCCAGGTCTAACAGGTGCTGTGAAAGTGGGCGACTTAGGAGGGAAACAGGAAATGCTCTCCACAGGAGGATTCTGCAAAGCAGGACACGTAGAATTCTCATGAGACAAGCATTGCTGCTTAAAACGGCCTTACGATCAAAGACAAAGCCAGTAAGAGCTAATGCCCACAGCCAGAGCAAACAGGTAACAGAAAAACTTCAAAAAAGTGTTTAGGATTTCCATAGGGATCAATAAAGGAACAAAGTCCATTAACCAAGAAATGACAAAATGAGGAAAAAAATTGCTGATTTTTAAATTGTTTAGGGAAATCACCCAGAACACTAGGTAAACAGAAATACAGGGTAGGGCAAATGTGGGGTTCCAGCTGTTCAAATGAAAAATAATACAATGATCACTAATAATACAACAATAAACTCTGAGTTTTATAAACTCACAACTGTAAGTCTAATACACAGATGGGCAAAAGTAGGTTTACAGTTGTGAATACCCAAAACACAGTTTATTCTTGTATTATTATTGACTGATTATTTTATTATTTATTTATACTATTTGTCTTATTATTATGTTTATTATTTTGTATTCTTACTTATGACTTATCTTTCAGGTAATGATGGCTGGTCATTTAAACTACTTTGGCCCACCTCTGATTATAAAAGACCAGCTAAAAAACATGGAAAAATTTAAAACAAATTTAGAATAGGTAGACTCAGTATTTGAAGAGAAAAAGTCTAGAACTTTTCCAAAGTAAGGCTTCACACTGAAAGAAAATACTGAGTTCCAGTTCATGATTTTTAAAAATTTACCAGATTACACCATAATGAAACAAGACCTCTATGGATGGACAAAGAAACACGGCAGAGGCTTATTAGGCCGAAGATGGCCCCTAAGATGCCCATTCTAAAGATGGCCCCTAAGATGCCCGTTCTTTGGATATTCAAACATTTTTTAAGTGTTGCTCAGAAGAAAATTTGTAAATGTAATTAAAGCTCCAAATCAGTTGATTATAAAATTCAGAGATTTTGGTGGGCATGACACAATCAGGCGAACTCTTTAACAGAGAGTTTTCTCCTGCTAGTGGCAGACAGGAGCTAAGAGAGAGTCAAAGCCTGCGGAAGACCTGAGGTGCCCTTGTTTCTTTGAAGATGAAGGGAGGTACATGCTAAGTCCTGTGAGTGGGCAGATCAGGAGGGGCCTCTAGCAGGCAGAGAGCAAGGAAACAAATACCTCAGACCTACAACTGCAAGAAATGAGGTTCTGCTTGCAACCCGGAACGACCAGCTAAGAGCTCAGCCTGGCCTTTTAGCCTGCACTCGGGTCAGCCTTGTGATGACCCAGACGAATCCACCTGGAGTTCTGACTTACAGAACTTCAAGATAATACATAAATGTTGCTTGAAGTCACTAAGTATGTACAGCAGTAAATGAACTAACATACCAACAAATTTATCACCATCATCATCATCAGTAAATGCCAGGTGTCACTGACATATCATCAAATTAGCTGATGCAAAATAACTCTCAACCAAGACTTCCATACTACATAAATTCACATTCAAGAGTGAAAATAAAATAGACAATTCTAGACAAATAAGATAAACAGCTTACTACGCATAGACTCACTAATAGTTTCTAAGAGATGTACCATATTTCACCACATATAATATGCACCCATATCTTATTACTAATTCCCATGTATAATATGCATCCTTACTTTTTCCTCAAAAATTATGGCAAAGAAGTATGTATTATGCATGGCAAAAAATATGGTACTTCATCAAAAGGGATACTAAATATTAAAAGATTTGAAGTAGGTTAAAATTCAGGAGTAAATAAACCCCAAATGATAAAATATGTAAGAGTCAATGAAGGAAAATGTACAAGATCTGTCCAGAAAAAGTCCAGCCATTCTTAATATAATGAAAATGGTTTGCATGACATTGATGTATCTGGCAGCCAAGGAGAGTGGGCTGGAATGTACATGTGTGAAAAATGACGACCTCACCCTGGCTGGTGTAGCTCAGTGGATTGAGCGTGGGCCTGTTTCTCTCCCTCTCTCCTTCCCTTCCCCTCTAAAGATAAATAAATAAAATCTTTAAAAAAAAAAAATGACGACCTCATTGTACCAGTCAGTGGGGGTGGAAGACGCTGTTGAGTGAGCGTGTGTACTGTGTGGCTGTAGCATTCAAAATGGCTGAGCAAGTACAGCAATGAATCTGTATTAAATTTTGCAGTTAGCCTGAACATTCCTCCCCATAAAGTATTCAGATGATTCAGAAGGATGCAGCTATGGGCAGCTGATGGTTGGTGACAACATGCCTGCTGGTGCATCAAGTCTCGTGCATGGTTTTTGGAGAAATATCAAATCACCCAGGTGACTCACCTTCCTAAAGCCAAGATTTGGAATCCTGTGACTTCTGGCTTTTTCTAAAACTAATATCAGTTTTGGAAGGGAAGAGATTTCAGACTGTTGATGAGATTCAGGAAAATACAATGGAGCAGCCGATGGCGATTCCAACAAAAGATTCTGCAGAGCGTATTGAACAGTGGAAAAGGCGCTGAGAACTGTGCGAGGCCCCACGGTGCCCACTCTGACGGGGACTGAGGCGTCATTCTCCTGTGCACAAAGTTTCTTTTTACTTTTTTTTAAAACTTAGTGTGAACTCCATTTTTTAAAAGATTTTATTTATTTATCTTTAGAGGGAAAGGAAAGGAGAGGGAGAGAAACATCAATGTATGGTTACCTCTCATGTGTCCCCTGCTGGGAACTGGCCTGCAACTCAGGCATGTGCCTTGACTGTGAATCGAACCGGGATCCTCTGGTTCACAGGCCCACACTCAATCTACTGAGCTACACCAGCCAGGGCTACAATGTTTATCTTGTATCGTCAATAAATGTCTCTATTTTACATATTACATGGATGGATACTTTCTGGACAGACCTCATAGGGTTAAATGGGTTAAGATCTATATGTTATCAGAAGAATATATGTGTGTGTGTGTGTGTGTGTGTGTGTGTGGTGTGTGTATATATATTTGCAAATTAACTACATTTAAATTTTTAATAATGATATAATAATTTAATAACTAAATAATACAACTAAAGGAATAAAATTAGAACATATGACCAAATTAATAGATGGAAAGAAAAAACAATAACAGCACAATTGATGTAATGAAATGATAAGAAAATCATTGTAAGAAAATAGAAGAAATATCGAAAAGTATAATCAATAGAAAAAATAAAACGGTAGACTTTGGTCTAAATATATTGGCAAATATAAGCCATAAACATATTAAATTCAACTACTGAAAAACACTTGAGATTACTGATTTTAAATCCCTCTGGCAGGGTGTTTTTCAGAGCCCAGCCTGTGAAAAAGTTATGTCAGTAAATCTAAGACAGAATGGATCTGTGCAAAGTAGACTGAAAACCTTCTGGAAAGGACACACCATTCTACACGCCATTAAGAACATGAGTGATTCATGGAAAGAGGTCAAAACGGCAGCATGAACAGGAGTGGGGAGTCGGCTGACTGAGGGCTCAGCACTGCGGGAGGAAACAGCTGCAGACGTGGTGGGCACGAGAAGAGGAGAGAGAAGCGAGGCCTGAAGATGAGACTGAACTGTGGCGCTCCAGTAACAAAACTTGAGCAGTTGAGAGGTTGCTTCTTACGGATGAGTGAAGAAAATGGTTTCTTGAGACAGAATCTACTGCTGGGGAAGATACGAAGATTGTTGAAATGACAACAGAAGATTTAGAGTATAACACAAACTTCATTGATGAAGCAGTGGTAGGGTTCAAAGGAACTGATTCCAATTTAGAAAGTTCTACTGTGGGCAAAATACTCCCAAACAGCAGCACATGCTACAGAGAAGTCAGTTGTGAAAAAAAATGTCAACTGATGCAGCCAACTTCACTGCCATCTCATTTGAAGAAATCGCCACAGCCACCCCAACCTTCGGCAGCCTCCGCCCAGACCAGTCAGCAGCCCACACCAAAGGACGACCCTCCACAGCAGAAGGACCGACTCACGGAGGACTCAGATGATGGCGAGCAATGTTTAGTAAGAAAGTGTTTTTAAGTTAAAGTATGTATGTTGTTTTTAAAAACATAGTTCTGTAGCATGCTTAATGGATTATAATATCTAGTATTTAATAACTATAATATATAGTACAGTATAATACAAACATAATTTTATATGCACTAGGAAACCAAAAAATTCATTTAACTCATAATATTACATTCACTTAATCACAACAGTCGAAACCAAACCTGCAGTATTTCTTGCAGGTAGGGCTACACATCCTTTTTCTTTACTAATTATACACTTTCTATTTCTTACTACAGTCAGTTATTTTATTCCTTGTTCCTTCAAAGTAGACTTCCAAGTGAATAAAAAACTAATTTACTAGAAAGTAAATTTTTATGTATTAGTGCCTAGTTTCAGGGCATGACTTTACCAACTGCAGGAGTTCAAACAATATCCAGAAATTAATTGTGAATCATTAATTCATTTTTCATTTTCAACATGTGTCTTAAAAAACACTCCAACCTACTTACCCGGTGGTGGTATATGTGTAAGTGCTGCTTTCTGATCTGGATATTTAAAAAACAGAAAAGAATGTCTCAAGTTAGTCCTGGGAAAGTTCGCCTACTGCGTGACTAAAAGGCCAGTTTATAAGCAGTGTTATCTCTTTTACAAGACTGACTATCAATAAAGCAGATAATGTCCCGGTCACTGGAAAAAAGATTCCTATAAATAACTTACTCACCCGTATACTTTATCCACAAAGAGTACAAATGCCAAGTATTGCAGTGAGAAGAGTTTTAACACACAAATTTGCTTTACTTTCTGCTTGTCAGTTCTAAACGCAAAATATAGGTTTGACTCTGAATGCCTGATTCTTACCTTTATACCTTAACGTTTAACTTCTTATTCATTGATAAAGAAATGCTACGTATTTTTAATCCTCATTCAAGGGAATTTTTTTCACTGGTTTTAGAGAGTGAGAAGAAAACACCAGTACAAGAGCGAAGCTTTGATTGGGTGCCTCCCGTAAGCACCCAGACCAGGCTCATACATGCCTGGACTGGGGATCGAACCTGCAACCTAGGTATGTGCCCTGGAATTGAACCTGCAGCCTTTTCGCTACTAGATGGCACTCCAACCCATTGAGCAACACTGGCAAGGGTGAGAAATGCTACATTTTGTAAATTAAAATCCCTACTGACTTCTAGACAATCTTGCAGAGTAGACAGGCCAGATATTGTCCCCTTCCAATGCTCACATAGAGGAGTGCTGAAAAAAACTAACAAAGACTTAATATATAACTTAATACAAAAACAAGAAAAAGACTTCTCCTGGTGCTAGTGAAAATAAAGCAATGGAGTTCAAAGGATAAAGAGGACCTAAAACTGAATGACTGCAGTGGTATCCGAGACTGTGATACTCCTTTGGGACTGGAGACTGAGCAGCCCTCCCTTAAAAGGAAATCAGTAAGTGGGAAACTGTACGTGAGCTCCCTCACTAACCCTGGGAGCCAGGGAGAGCCGCTCCATCCACAAAACAGGGATAATAAAGATTCTGACCACAGAATGGACACTTGAAACCTATATAATTTTATTAAGCAATGTCACTCTAATAAATTTAACTTTTTAAAAAGTGTACACAGGAGAGGAGAAATAAAAATTTTGTCTCAAGGTTAAAAAAAAAATCACCTCTGACCAGTAAGGAGCGTTTGGAATACAGCAGGAAAATGAGCTATGTGGATGGGGAAAGTATATCAGTGAGAGAAGTAGGACTCCCAAACCTGTAAGAAGTATACTTCCAGGACCCCAGCTCACACACTACAAGTTCCTGAACACCATGCATTGCAATTGCTTTAAATATTTTTGCTTTAAAAGAAGCAAAACTCAAACAGCCCACATGTATGTGTCTTCAACAAGGGCGTGCAGAATTCTCACAGGAAAATCACAGACACTGAGGATAAAAGAGTCAATGATTACAAACCACGGAAAGCATGAGTGTCAACAGTCACCACAGATCAGCAAATTCACGCACCAAGAAATACAACACAAATTGTTTTTATAACTTTAGAATAAGAATTACATTCTTGCATAGAAACCTTCACAAGAATTGATTCCATAAGACTATTACAGGACAAAAATGCAAGAAGAGTTGGTGGAAGTCTGAACAAGGAAATAAAACAGAACGTGGGATACACAGTTATAAACCATAAAGACATACTTCCAATTCTGGCCAAGATGCAGTACAGGTTAGGTTTACCCTCCTGCCTGAAACAACTGAACATCCTGACAAAATGTATGAAACAGTGGTTTTGAGACATTGAGTATGTCAGTGCAGGACAGTGATCTCTGAGAGAAGGGAATAAAAAAGGGGAGAACTATATTTGACTCTTCTTGTTGCCTGACGAGAGCTTCCAGGCTGTAGCACAGGAAGGAGCACAGGCAAAGCCAGAAGGTTCTCTGAGTTGGGGAAATGGAATAGGGAGTCTAGGAAGGGCAAGGCAGCTAGAATTCACAGGGGGAAATCGCAGAAAGGGACAGAGCTGCACACAGAGACCTCCTGAGATCTGTGGAGGGTCCCCGCTGAGTCTTAAGCAGAAGTGCAAGTGAGGAGACCACCTGAGTCAGAGGGGAAAAAAACTTCCTGAAATGAAGAAAGGGAGCAATCTGTTGTACACACAAAGGGACAGGGATAGTTTGTGTACCCAGCACCTCAGGTGAAAAATCTCATAATTCATGGTGAGCTGGGCAGAGTTACTCACAAGGGCTTTGCCTTAGTAGTGATGACTATTCTAATCCTGCTTAATGAAGCTTAAACAGCAATGGTATTAGAACAATTGGATATTCTTATGGAAAAGGAACACTGACTCTATCCATACCTCTTTAACTGTATAAAACTTAATTCAAACTGAACATGAGCCTAAATGCATAACCTAAAACTATAAAATTTTTAGAGGAAAACAAAGGAGAAAATCTACATGAATTTTGCTTAGGCAAATATTTCCTAGATACAACACCAAAATCATGATTTATAAAAGATGAAATTGATACAGTGTATTTAATCAAAATTTGAAACTTCTGCTATTTTAAAGAATGGAAAGACAAGTCTCAGAGTAAGAGAACATATTTGCAAATCATACATATGATAAAGTACTTGTATCCAGAACATATAAAGAACACTCAAATGCAACAGTGGGAAAACGAACAGCCCATTTTAAAAATAATTAAAAGATGTGAATGACTCACTAAAACAAAGACAATCCAATTAAAAAATGAGGCCTTTCAGCTATAGCTACCATCTTGTCAAAATAAACATGGTTTTATTTATAACAGTTAAATACCAGAACAACCCCAAAATTCATCAACAGATAAACAAATAAACAAATTACAGCATATTCATACAACCAAATACGTATCAACAATAAAAAGGAAAAACTTTTAATACACAAAAGAGCATAAAAATGAATTGCAAAATAATGATGGTGAATTAAATAAACCAGATAAAAATTAAAAGTACAGAAGATGGAGGTATAGGTGGAAACACTGTGCCTCCTTGCATAACCAAGTTTAAAGACAACAAAGTTTTAGTAACAAAAATGCAGCCAAAACACAGAAAATTGAACTGTACGGAAGTCCGACAACAATAAACCATTCAGCCAGACCAGTAAGAGGGGCAGAGTCAGCTGCGGAGCAGGTCAGGCAGCGGTGGACCCACCCAGGAGCACAGGCAGCGGTTGGCAGATACCAGGGAGGGCGCAGGGCAGCTGGCTGACTGCAGTCACGTATTCCAGAGCAGATAAACCAAGCAAAGGAGCAAACAGTGAGACAGACCGCTCAGGCTAGGGCCCCAGCAACGGGAATTAGAGCCTGAAAGCACCAATTGGAAAGACTTTCAGGTCAAGGTGCTGGGAGAGTTCGTTGGAGAAATCCACAGGGTCCTGGAGGGTACACAAGCCCACACACCCAGGAACCAGCACCAGAAAGACCCAATTTGCTTGTGGGAAGTAGCAGAGGGGACAGAAATCTGAGAGAGAGCAGAAAAAAACGTCATTGCCCCTCTCTGACCCTGCCCCCACGGTACAGTGTCACAACCCAGCAACTGGTGGCCCCACCCTGATGAACACCTAAGGCTCTGCCCCTCATACATAACAGGTGCAAACAGGCCAAAACATTATGGCTCAAGAACAGCTCAAAGCCCCAGAGCCAATAAATCTAAGCGACCAAGAGATAGCCAAACTTTCAGATGCACAGTTCAAAACACTGGTGATCAGGATGCTCACAGAACTGGTTGATTTTAGTCACAAATTAGAGGAACATTTGAAGGCTAAACTAATTGAAATGAAGGGAAATGCACAGGAAACCAATAGTGATGGAAGGGAAACTGGGACTCAAATCGAGGGAGTGGACCAGAAGGAAGAAAAAAAATGACCAAACAGAAAAGAATGAAGAAACAAGAATTCAAAAAAATGAGGAGAGGTTTAGGAACCTCCAGGACATCTTTAAACATTCCAACATTCGAATTATAGGGGTACCAGAAGGGGAAGAGAAACAGTCATGAGTGGAAACCTTATTTGAACAAATAATAAAGGAGAACTTCCCCATTCTGGCAAAGGAAATAGACTTCCAGGAAATCCAGGAAGCTCAGAGAGTCCCAAAGAAGTTGGACCCAAGAAGGAACACACCAAGGCACATCATCATTATATTAGCCAAGATTAAAATGAAGGAGAGAATCCTAGAAGCAGCAAGAGATAAGGAGACAGTCACCTACAAAGGACTTCCCATCAGACTGTCAGCGGATTTCTCAAAAGACAAGAAGGGGCTACAAAGAAGTATTCCAAGTCATGAAAAGCAAGGACCTACATCCAAGATTGCTCTATCCAGCAAAGCTTTCATTTAGAATGGAAAGGCAGATAAAGTGCTTCTCAGATAAGGTCAAGTTCAAGGAGTTCATCATCACCAAGCCCTTATTATATGAAATGTTAAAGGAAATTATCTAAGAAAAAAAAGAAGATAAAAATATGAACAGTGAAAGGACAACAAACTCACAGTTATTAACAACCACACCTAAGACAAAAGCAAACTAAGAGGACAGCTAGATCAGGAGTGAACCACAGAAATGGAGATCACATGGAGGGTTAGCAACAGGGGAGTGGAAGGAGGAGAAGGGGGGAGAAGGTACAGAGAATAAGTAGCATAGATGGTAGGTAGAAAATAGATACGGGGGAGGGCAAGAATTGTGTGGGAAATGTAGAAGCTAAAGAAGTTGTGACACATGGACATAAACGAAAGGGGGGGAATGGTGGGGGAGAGGTGTGCAGGGTGGAGGGGAATGAAGGGGGGAAATAGAACAACTGTAATGGCATAATTGATAAAACATATTTTTTAAAAAGGGGGAAAAAAGAATGATAAACACAACAAAAAATATAGAGATCTCAGCAAAACCAAAACTGCTCATGAGAAAAGGAAAAAAAAACTATATAAGCAAAGTTAGAATTAAAAGAGAAAACGTATCTATAAAACGTACAAAAAATCACAACAGTATATAATTGTAGCTCTGGCACACAGATGCAGCCACGGGCGGTGCAATGATGTTGCTCCCGCTCACTTCCGGGGCACAGCACGTGCTCTGCAGGCAGGAAGGCAACACTGGCAGGGCTGCCACTGAAGACACGCACCAGTAATTTCATAAGAGAAATAAGAAAAACGTTAACATTCATTCATTTCTAATGGTGTGCAAATGGGCATCACCTTTTTCTGTGTCTTTGTGTTTGAATTAATTTTTTTTAAATAGCCCTGGCTAGTGTAGTTCAGTGGATTGAGCACAGGCCTGCAAAGAAAAGGGTCGTTGGTTTAATTCCCAGTCAGGGAACATGCCTGGGTTGCGGACCAGGTTCCCAGTAGGGGGCGCATGAGAGGCAACCACATATTGATGTTTCTCTCCCTGTCTTTCTCCCTTCACTTCTCTCTAAAAATAAATAAATACAATCTTTAAAAAGGAAATAAATAAAAATAAAAATAAAACTTTATCCAGAAGATCTTTTTAAAAGGATTTCTTACAGGAGGCAGTAATGCAAACTGCAATATTTCATGGGTGGTAAAGCCCAGAAATCTGCATATTCACACCTTGTTTCTCCTGTAAAGTGACATGCATGGGTCACTGAGAACCACTAGGGTTATTTCCTCTCTCAATTACCAAAGCAATGACTTTGGAGAGTTACTTAAATTTATACTCCCGAATCTTTGTATCTCTAAGATGAGACTATTCAAAATCATCATACACAACTAAATGACATACTGATATAATACTCAAAATTCTTATTAAGTATATCGCTGTTGCTCATGATAATGCCTTACAAGGGACTAGATTCAAACGGTACTAAAGTTTAACTTCAGAACACAAATTTACTCGCTACTTAGGGATTCCTCTTCCTTGGTGAACGACTTTTTCAGTTGATTCCATGAAATAGCTATTACGGTTGCTATGATGAGAACAGATAAAGTGATATAGAAACCTAGAAGCCACCGGTTCTTTTCCGATTTCCAAAAAGCTCTTTTCATGATTAAACCTAAAAACAAAAAAACCATTACAAATCAGAGTAAAAAAATTAAGCTGTATACTTTTACTTCAAAAGTGCAACAAACTAGTGACAGTGTCCTTAATTTTTTTGTCATTCAAGTAACACAAAAACATAATAGTATCATAATACTTTGGACTATCTCCTACTATCTCTTATTCTAAAAGGATGAAAACCAAGTTCCAGAAAGTTGAACGGATTCTGTTACACAAGAGCTATAGCAAAAACTCACTTTATAACACTATAAGTGGGTGTGAGTGTAATTTATTAACACTCATAAATTTCCATGATATATGAGTACAATGTGGTATGGTGTAATTGCAAAGTTATCCAATGAATTTGCATTGTTACAGGTCGCATCATTACAGAATCTCACCATATTTGTGTATATCCTATTTTTCTTTAGTAGACTGTTGACTTTTTGGCATTAGGGATCTGTTTTTATATTTTGAGCCATTATAGCACTATTAAAATGGGACTGGCATAAAAATCAGGAGACTTAATTCCTAACCCTTATTGTGCGACTAGTTAGCACGGGTATGGTGCCCTGAACATACTCCTAAACTCCACAAGAAGAGGGACCTTGTTTAGCTCACTGTGTATCTCTTGTGCCACATGACCAGCACCGGGCATATTTAGGAGTTCAATATATATTTGCCAAATCAGTGAATGAATGACATGCTGAACAGATACAATACTGTGCTCTCATCCCTCCAGGATCTCGTTAACAGCAACTGGCGGGTTTTTCTCATTTAAGTTGTAAACTTCTTCAGAGTAAAACTTATCTTCAATTTCCTTTATTTCCTCTATTATTAACAAACACATACTCACACACAGTAATTGTGTATAGCTGAGATCACAGGATTGATTATGAAGGAGGGAATGTTGAAAGATAGTCTTAAAAGAGGAAAATCAATGATATCAGTAAGTGCAAATTTTAAAAGATACTCTCAGCTTCAATCACGATATTTTAAAGTTAATATGAGAGGAAAAAAAGAGCAAGATTAAGAAGGTATATTTGGTTTCCATTTCTTGAAAGAAGCCTATTTACCTTTTAATTACAAATACGGGTTTCTTCCTAAGTGGAGAAAATGTAACTGTGTTTGTCCAGACGAGCTGCCCGAGAGCCTCCCTGACTGGACGCGTGAAGACAGAGACACTTGCCTGCTGGGAGGCCGTCGGCCTCTCTGGACTGCTGGTTGCAGGTGGCGCCCGTCCAGCCCTTATCGCACTGGCAGTGCTGCTGGGAAGTGCACACCTAGGATCGTTTGAAGACACTTAAATCATCGTTTAAACATAGCTTTCCTATAGAAAGTCAGATTATCAGCTGGATTATCAATCTTTTTTGGTTTTTGTCCCGTGTAATTTTGTTTATTTGATTTATTTAGAGAGATCAGCCAATAAACACTTGATTTCTTAGCCTAAAGTGTGTACACGCAGACAAACGGACAAACCCTCACACACAAGACAGCTAAATATGAAGCAAGGCTCACAAGATTTGCATCAAGAAAGTTTAGTATCTTCAAATGTTCTCCTGACATCTTAGCCTGCGGTTTCAAAACACACTCTTAACTCGAATGAAAACGAGGCACTTCCAGTGTGTGCTGCAGGCCAGCCACCACCAGCCCTGTGCACATCCCTTCCAGTCTCCAAGTTCAGTGTCACCACCAGGTAACTGGAAGGATTTGCACTTACAAACGAGGACCCACCCTCCCCTAGGAGGGGTTGTTAAACATTTATGAGTGTAACACTGCCCTTGATCCCTATCAAGTTTTATTCTGTTTGCTTTTGTTTGATCGATTTTTAGGCAAAGAGTTTTTATATTACCACAGGGCATCAGATACTTAGACAAAGCATAACATCAGGAACTGATGGTTTCTATTATTAATAAATTAATTATTAAATAACAGCAAACGCCTTTGTGATGCTTACTATGTGAGTCTCCATTCTGCACAAGTCTCAGCACTTTATACAGGTTTACTCATTAAACCTTCACAGCAGCCCTCTGAAGTGAGGACAATTATTATTCCTACTTTACAGATGAAGAAACTGAGGTACAGACATTTAACCTGCCAAAAGGCACATGGCTGGTAAGTGATAGAGCCGAATTTAAACCCAAGCAATTGGGTTTCAGAAGGTCTGCTCCTTGAGCACCGTGCTATGCCACTTCTCAAAATAATATAAAACATTGCTCAGTTTCTAAGATCTCAACTTAAAAACAAGACTCTAATTTCTCTGTTCCATGGCTAAAATGCACAGGGGGCAAATACTCTGTTCCAGGTATTCAAGCTTCTGTCATAGCACCTTCATAATGTTGTATATGTAAATGTATACTTTTACTCTGAAATATTTCACAGAAGTGACATTGTCCTTCTCATGAGGCACTTGGCAATTTGTCCTAATCACAGTCCATCCCTTTCAGCCCATGGAGTGCTGTCCTAAAACTGAGGCAATCCAGTCATGGAGAGGATGCCCACCTCCTGGGGACCACTGAGCACTTCCCTCTACGGAAGAGAAACTGTCACACAGAGAGCTAGCAGAAGCCTCAAGAGAGAAAATAAAAACCTGTGCTTCTGTGCCACCTACAGGAAAATAAAAGAAAGACCTCTACCTATCAAAGTTCTTTTTATTTTTTTAAATTTGATCTTTATTGTATTTTTCTCCATTACCATTTACCATTTCCAAAGTTTTTTTTAAAGGAGCTTTCAGATAAATTTAATTTAAAAAATTCTTCCTCACATTAAAAAGGCAGCTTTCATTTCCACAAATGTCAAGGCGGAGAAATAACCCATCATGTATGTATAAGGAATAACCCAGATAGCAAGGGAACTCAGAAAGGAAAAATTTTTCAGAAAATAAAAATAAAGACATGTAAATACATGACTTAAATAACAGAATTCAAGATTGCTGTTCTGATAAACAACAATATCCAAGAAAACTCAAAAAGGCAACTCAATAAACTCAGAAATAAAATCAGTGAACAAAAGGAATACTTCACCAAAAAGATTAAAATTGTATATATAAAGAAACCAAACAGGTCCCAGCTAGTGTGGCTCAGTTGTTGGAGCACTGCCCCAATAAACCAAAAGTCGCGGGTTTGATTCCCAGTCAGGGCACACGTCTAGGTTACAGGTTCAATCCCTGGTTGGGGTATATACTAGAGGTAACCCATCAATGTTCTCTCTCACACTGATGTTTCTCTCCCTCTCTCTCTCCCTTCCACTCTCTCTAAAGTCAATAAGCATGTTCTCAGGTGAAGATTAAAACAGAAAAAAGAAAAGAAAAATTACGGAGCTGAAGAGCTCAGTAAGAGACAGAATGAACTAGCAAGCTTAGGAAACAGAAAAGACAAGACGGAGGGAAGAATTAGTGACACGGAAAATAGAAATCTGGAAATGACTGTTGTGGAAGAAGAGAGTCAAGAGTAAAAAAGAAACAGAGTTCTCTATGAGAGCCATGTGTCTCCATTAGAAACAGCGACATTGGAATGGTGGGCACATAGACTCCATCGGAAACAGCGACATTGGAATGGTGGGCACATACACTAAGAGCTGAGAAGCAGCAGAAGGGAACGGAGAGCCAACACGAACAAATAATTGACAAAAAAAACTTCCCAAACCTTTGGAAAATACTGGATTCTCAGATATAAGAAGCTAACAGAATACCTAATTATCTCAATGCAAAAGAGACTTCTCCAAGACACATTATTATTAAAACTATAAAAAATTAACAACAAAAAAAGAATTCTCAAGGCATCCAGGGAAAAGGAGATAATAATCAATAAACAATATCTCATTAGATTATCATCAGATTTTTTTTAGCAAAAACCCTATGAACAAGGAAAGAGATTAAATATTCGAAGTATTAAAAGAGAGAAATCACCAGCCAAGAATAATATATCCAGCAGAGCTGGACTTTTCCAGACATACAAAAGCTGAGGGAATTTTCCACCACAACAACTGCATTACAGGAAATACTGACAGGTATTTTTCTATCTGAAACAAACAGTCAAAAAGATACAAAGCTATGAGCAAGGTTACTAACAAGAGGGGCAGAACCTGAAATTGAAACCCTCACTCACAATAGGCTACCAAAACCTTAAATAAACATAAAAGTTAAAGAAGGTAAAACCATTTTTTAAAAAGAAGCAAATAGCTACTGAAACTTGGAAATAAACCCACAGCATTACAAAAAGTGATTTGTGACAACAAAAACAGAAGGGAAGAGGATAAAAAACTGAACTGCACAGCTGAATGGAGATAAGGTGCCATCACTAAGAAAAAGGACTACTGTATATATTAAAGTTGCTTTTGCATAAACCCAATGGTAAACACAAAAACATCTAGAACTGAAAAAAGACAGCCAAAAAAAGGAAATGAAGGCAGGGGGAAATACAGAATACAACCAGATGAAAATAACAGACAGAAACACAAGAGAAAAGAAACTATAGAAGCACAAAGCCCTCAGAAAACAAAAGATAAAATTACCACAGGAAATCTTCTTATATCAATAATCACCCTAAATACAAACGGAATGAACTCACTTGTTACAAGGTATGAATCAAAAAACAAAATTCTCTATACACTGCATTCAGGAAACACATCTCAGTCACAGAGACAAAGACAGATTCAAAGTGAAAGGGTGGAAAATGACTCTCCAAGTAGATGGCATCCGCAGAAAGACAAGTATAGCCATACTTACATCTGACAAAATAGATGTCAAGTTTAAAAAAGGGAGCGCGAGCCAGAGATGGACATTTTATACTTGGCAAACGGGCCACTACACCAAGAAGACATAACACTTCTCAGTGTGTGTGCACCCAGTCAGGGAGCACTGAGATACATAAAGCAGCCACTAACAGAAATAAAGGGAGAAACTGACAAAAACACAATCCAAGTAGGGGACCCAAACATGCCATTCACAGCAGTAGACAGATCATCCAAACAGAAAACCAATAAAGAAATATCAGCCTTAAAAGACACGTTAGACCAGATGGACATAACTGACATTTACAGAGCCTTTCATCCCAGAACACCAGATTACACTCTTCTCTATGGCACATAAAACACTCTGAAGGACAGATCATATGCTGGGAAACAAAACTAGCCTCAACAATTTCAAGGAGACTGAAGTCATACCAAGCATATTCTTCAAGAACAATGCTTTAAATTATAAATCAATTGCAAAAAAGGGAGCAGAAAAAAAGATACATAATGTGGAGATTAAATAACATGCCATTAAAAACTGATGGGGTCACAGAAGAAATAAAAGTGAGGACAAAAGACATAGAGACTAATGAGAACGACAATATGACACAGCAAAACTTTGGGGAGGCAGCAAAAGCAGTAATAAGAGGGGAGCTTAGAGGCCGAGCTCAAGAAACAAGAAAAATACCAAGTAAACAAGATAATATTACATCTAAAAGAAGTAGAAAAAGAACAAGAGCAGCAGAAGAAAGGAAATAATCAAATTAGAGCATAATTAAATGAAATGGAGAACAAAAAGATGATACAAAAAAAACAGTGCAACAAAGAGCTGGTTCTTTGTAAAGAACTCACTAAGGAAAAACAAGATTCAAACAAAATGGAAATGAATGAGAAGCTCCCAGAGACATCACGGAAGTACAAAGGCTCATACTAGAATACTAGGAGAGACTATGTGCCCCAAACCAATGACCTGGGAGAAATGGACATGTTCCTAGGAGCAGATAACCTTCCTAGACTCAACCACAGAGGACTGGAAAATCTGAATAGGCTGATCAACAGTGAGGAAAGTGAAACAACTTTTCAAAACCTCGCAAAAAGTAAAATCCAGGACCAGATGGTTTCCCTAGTGAATTCTACCAAACGTTCAAAGATCTGATACCTATCCTTTTCACTCTTCCAAAAAATTAAAGAGGAGGCAATACTTCCTAATACGTTTTATGAGGCCGACAGTACCCTGATATCAAAACCTGGCAAGGATAGCACACAAAAAGAAAACCACAGTAGGTCAGATAAATACACATGCAAAAATCCTAAACAAGATAAAAAATAAAAATTAGCAGATTTAATTTTAATCTGTCCTACAGATAAAATTAATGGTATAATGTATAATGGTATGATGTTCTACAGACAACATTATACCTAATGGTGAGATCAGAAGTTTCCCCACTAAGATCAGAAACAAAGCAAAAAAGTCACCTCTCACCACTCCTTTTCGGCATCATCCTGGAAGACAAGAAAACAAAAGCTATGCAGATTGTGAAGGAAGAAGTAAAACTGCCTTCGGAAGTGACAACAGCAACACTGCGGGTGGAAGACATTCCTCCTTATTGTTCTCCTTTTAACCCTGAATTTGGCACCATCCTGAACAAAAGTACTTTTGTGGGAATTGTGTAATTGAGCACCATACATCAAGGGACCCAGGAGAAATCTTGCCCACCTATGCATCAGGTAAAAGGCAGACAGGCCTCAGTATAGGCTGCGGAACCAGCAGGAGTCTGTGAACAGGCCTCTGCCCCTCTTGGCTGCATTCAGGGAAAACCCAGAGAGTTCTGCCATGGACATAAAAGCCTTGCATAAGTCCAACCTTTTGAAGAATAGGTTTCTGCATTCTTTTGGAGTAAGATAACTGTTTGGAATACCCAGGAGAGGGTGATACAGGGTGCAGCAAGGGGGGGCCCCAAAAAAACAGATTTGGAATGGTGTCCAGAATTCAAAGTGTATAGAAATATTGGAGAGACATATAAGATGTCCTCACCACTCCCCCCCCCCCAGGGGGAAGGGATGAATAGAGCCAGGCCATTGAGAACTATTTTGCATAGCAACAGTTTTGGAGCTAACCTCTGGAGGAATGGTTATTTAACATATCTATAACCTTTAACTGGTTTCATAGATATGTTAAATAGCTGTGGCCAAGTTTGGGGCCAGGAAGAAGGAGGGAGAGGGGAGAAGGTAGTAGCTGGGACTCAAGATGGGAACTAGGGGCTGCTCTCCTGAGTGAGAAGGGCTTGGACTCAGAATGTAACAAGGGGCTGCGCTCCTGAGCGAGATGGCCTGGGTGGGAGCTTGGAAAAGACTGGCTCCGAGACATGAAGGGTCCCCCCCGCTTGGCCAGATGAGAGGGAGAGCCACGCGGTTTCAGCAGAGTGAGGACCCCCTGTTGGTGGGGTGAAAGAGGGAGCCACGTGGTTTTGGCGGAGTGTGGACCCCCTCTTTCCCAGGTGAAAGGGAAAAACCACGCAGCTTTGCCAGAATGGAGATCCCTGCAGCCAGGTGAAGAAGACAGCCACATGCTTTTGGTGGAGTGCGGACTCCTGCAGCTTTGGTAGAAGAGGCCCACGCGGCTTTGGGGTGCCCCCTTTGGCCGCGGGGCCTGAAAAGCAACAGAGACTTTGACTGGAACTGGGTACAAAGGACTCTTGCCAGTGGACCATGAGAGGGTACCACAGTACTTTGGATTAACTCGAGATCCTGCACGGTGACACAGCTGACGGTGCCAGCGGCCTGCAACACAGACGTGTGCTCTTTTCCTGATTTACGGTACCCGGAATTGGGACAGCGGGGGAAGGGAGCACTGTGTGGGTGTAGGTGTACAACCTAAAGAACTTTGATATTTTAGTGGTGGCATTAGGCCTGAATAGCATTAAATAAACATTTTGTTTCCTTTTCACAAATCTCTGGCTTTAAGAGATGTGTTTCCAATTGGCGGCGGACAGAAGGGCCCAGTAGATTTTAGTATTTTGGTTTTTGGGAGGGGCCCATGTTGTACAGCAGTTTTGGGCATCCCTAGGTGGGCCAAATATTGTATTGCCCCTCCCTCGGACGACCTCCTGTTGTTCGGTAACAAGGGCAGAGTGACTTTGCCAGGGTGACCTCTCTCCAACCATGGGGCTGAACTAGCCAGTGGTGACCTCTCCTGTGGGGGAAGGGAAAGGAGCGAGTGAGTCCTCCGTTAACCAGCTGTGCATCACACAGCTGGAGAAGCCTGTTTTTCTCCTGCAGCATCCAGAGTACTAAGGCAGGACCTCCGTGACTGGAGAAGTATGATCAGAAAATAGTCAAGAAATATGAAAGGGCATTAAAGAGACACAGTTTCTGCTGAATGTTTTCATTACTCCATCAGGAAGCCTGCTCATAAGCTGCTACAAAAACTTAAATCATGGGTGCCCCCCAACCTGACCTGTGAGCACCCCCAGTGCCCCAAGTGCTAAATCCGTAAGTTTCCCCACTTTTGTGGCCTGCTCCTTGTACACCTGAGCTGATCAGCGAGAGCAAGCTCCAGCAGACAGATATATCCCTCAGAGAATCAAATCAGGGTCCTCAGGCAAGGGAGAAAACACAAACTTGAGTTCTAGCCACCTTCTGGAAAACAAAAGAGAGGTTTTCAGCAGCCGCCTTCTAAGAACCAGAGAAGACATACTAGTTTAAGTACTCTGCCACTAGAGGGAGCCAGAAGTGTGAACGACCCAAACCTAAATAAGACCAATAAAACATACCTCCCACCAGAAGACAACCAGTAAAGATTTAAGGTGACTACTACTTCAAATGTGAAAACACCAATGCAAAATTCCAAGAAACATGATGAATCAAGGAAACAAGTCATCATCAAAAGATAACAATACTTCAGCAACCAAACTCAAAGATGCAGAATTTAGTAATTTAGCTGATAAAAAGTTCTAAATGGCTGTTTTTAATAACTTGGTGAGCTACAAGAAAACACAGAAATACAATTCAACCAAATAGGAAATCTTGTAGATGAAATTAAATGTTAACAAAGAGATAGAAATCATAAATAAGAACCATAAAGAAATTCTAGAGGTGAAATTTTCAGTGATTTTTTTTAATGTCATAAAGAACATCTGCAGCAGAATAAACCAAATAGAAGACAAAATTGTGACCTAGATAAATAGGAACAGGGTAGAAAAAATAATAAGAGCAAAGAAAGCACCCAGGACCCATGGGAAGCCACCAAACACAGAGACATTAGACTCACTGGAGCACCGGCAGGGGGCAGAGAAGAAAGAGCCAGGAAGTCTATTTAAAGAAACCATAGCTAAGAGCCTCCCAAGCCTGGGATGAGACTTAGACATCCGAACTCACAAAATTCATAGATTGCTCCATTTCTCAATGCAAAATGACCTCCTCAAAGACATTATAACGACACTCACAGAAAATAAAGAGAAAGTCCAAAAATAGCAAGAGAAAAACCAATTTCAATCTACAAAGCAATCCCTGTAAAGGCCAGGAAAGAGTAGAATAACATATTCAAACTACTGAATGAAAAAAGCCAGTCAAGACACTTTATCCAACAAACCTATCCTTCAGAAGTGAAGGAGAAATGGAAACTTTTCCAGACAAACTAAAGGAGGGAGATCATCCCCACTAGACCTGCCTGACAAGGAATTCTTCTGCTGAAAGGAATTCTTCTATCCAAAATGCAAAGATAATAATCAATAGCATAAAAACATACAGAAATCTGTGACACACTGCTAAAACTAAATGCACAGATTTTTAAAACTCTAAATCTGTGATGTAATTGTGAATTAACCATTTAGCATTAGTATTCAGGTTCAGGGAAAAGATTATTAAAAACTAATTATAGCTACTATAATTTGCTAATGAATGCACAAAAAGAGGTAAACTGTGGCATAAAAGGGGTAGTAAATGGTTAAAGCTCTTGTGTGAGATTGAAGTTAAGTTGCAATTAGCTTAACATGGACTATTTTATCTATAAGATGTTGTATGTAAATTCATAATCCAAAAAACAAGAAGCCACAGGAGATTCACAAAAGATAAACAGAGGGGAATCAAAGTACACCACCATAGAAAACCACCAATTCACAGAGGTAGGGAGAAAAAAAAAAGAGGGAAAAGAACAAGGGAACTAAAACACAGCCAGAAAACAATTAAAGATATGGCATTACTAAGTTCTCACATATCAAGAACTTCTGTAAATGTTAATGATATTAATGAACCAATCAAAACACAAAAGGGATGGATAAAAAAAAGCAGAACCCAACTAAGTGCTTCCTGCAAGAGGCTGACTTCAGTTTTAGAAACACACACAGGCTCAAAATAGAGATATAAGATACTCCATGAAAGTAGAAACCAAAACAGAAATGGGGTAGCTATCCTGATATAAGATAAAGTAGACTTTGAGCCAAAAATAACAATAAGACAAAAAGAAGATTACTAAATGATGATGCAGGGGTCAGCTCCTCGAGAAGATACAACAATCGTAATTTGTGTGCCCTGTTCTGAGCACCTGACATGTTACGCAAATACTAACAGAACTGAGGCAACTGACAGTGGCACAATGAAAGTGGGACACGTCAGCTCACCACTTTCAACCATGGGTGGACAATCCAGACAAAATCACAAGGAAATGTGGGACGTGAACCACACTTTAAATCACCTGGGTATAGTAGATATATACAGAACATATCATCAAACATCAGCAGGAAACACATTTTCAAGTTCACATGGAACATTACCAAGGACAGGACGTATCATAGGCCACAAAAGTAATGTTAGCAAAGTTAAGAAGATTAAAAACATATCAAATATCTATTTGGCCAAAATTGTGTGAAATGACAAATCAACAAGAAGAAAGCTGAAAAATTCACAAATATGTAGATATCAAACAACACACTCTGAACCACCAATGGGTCAAAGGAGAAATTATACAGAAAATTAAAAAAATCTAAAACACGTGACGAAGAAAACAGCACAGGGCAAAAAACCTGGGATGCTGCAGAAGCCGCTCTTAGAGGTGATTTACAATGATAAATGCACTTGTAAAAAAAACAGGTAATTTCAAATAAGCCATCTAACTCTACACCTAATGGAACCAGAGGAAGACAATAAGCCCAAAGTTAGGAAAAGAAAGGCAATTACAAAGATTATAGTGAAATAAATAAGGACCCCCCCAAAAAAAACAAGATCAATGAAACTAAGAGAAAGTTCTTTGTAAAAATAAATTGATAAATCTGCAGCTAGACTACGGAAAAAATAGAAAGTAATATCACCAAGATGACAATGTAGATTGTTCCCACAGTCACTCCCTCTGAGAAGAAAAACGAACAACTACTCATGAACAAGACACCTCCGAGAGAATCCCAGAACACGAGGGTGAGACGAAAACCAACCCGGGCACCACTCGGATGCTGATGGAGACAGACTGTGTTGCCCCCGCCCCAGGCCCGCACACCACCTGAGAAGTCTTCCCTGAGCCTACCATTCCACCAACAGGAAAAGATTGCTCAGCGTGAACATCCAGACCTTCCAGCATTTCGAGTAGCTTCTTGGGAGTGTCTACTCGAACTCTGCTCACAGAGATCATGCAAGAAATGGTGAGGCTAGCCCGCTGGGGCTCTGATTTGAGGGAGGGGGCAGGAGGGGCTTGCAACCACAGGATCTTGTCCAGATTCGTACCTGCAGCGCCCACGTAGTAGTCCTGACCAGCGGCTTTGTTCATCCGCACAGCCAAGACAGTGGTGCAGCAGGACCAGGGAGCCTGACAGGGTACAGGTCTGCCTGACTTGGGGCCTCAAACAAAGGGCCTTGCCACCTCTGGAGCTCGGTATCCCCTCACCCCACAGGGGGCTGAGTAATAGCCCTCTCCAGTGCTGAGTGTAGTTCCCAGCCCCACACAACCGGAAATCCCGGCCAATTAAATTCTATAAAATGGTCTCTATACCTACCTCTGGCTGCAGACTTAGTAACCCAATAAAGCTCCATATGGAAACCAGATACAGCAGAGCCTAGCTGTTGGGAAAGGTCATTAAAAAGACGACCAGTGGTTTGACCCACAGCTTTATGTACCTGGGGAATCCGAGACTCTTATTCTCCACGGAGCTTGCAACAGGTGCTCCGCTTGCTCTCCCTGGGCTGGAAGCTACTCTAGGATACAATCTTGAGACAGAACTGTGGTGCAGAAGACAACCTGTGCTAGGTATGTGACTAAACCCAGGTCAGGCCCCTGTGTAAGTGACTGAACCTACTTAGGGCCTCTCTATTAACTTCTCGAAATCTCGTGGACTGGTGCAGAAAACTCCTAGTCCTGCAGCTGCCCAGGACAAGCCTGTAAGCTGTTGGTTAAATCTGCTGCCTACCAGTCTGCCTTCTTCTTCAGTATGTCCCTGCCTTCCATGCATGGAAACTGGTTCAGGTTATACTGAAAGCTCTGGAGGAGGCTGCCACTCAACACTAGCGTACAGTGGGGACCAAATAAACTAATGAGTGATCCTAAAACCTGAAAAATGTCCCAGGTAAATGTGATTTGGGAAACACCAATCACATGCTTACTTACTCCATGGCCACTGCACTTTGCCGAACAGGTGTGAAAGTCACTCTTGAGCATCCTCGATTCTACACACTCACGATTTACACAAACCTAATGAAAAACAATTCCTAGTCAGAGAAGTTCAGCTATCTTAACATTACAATCCGCAATTTTATAACATAAAACCATAACCATTCAATGCAATAAATGTCCATTTAAGTACTGCTTTTTCTGTACCCCACAAATTTTTAAGTTGTATTTTCATTTAATGAAAAATAGTTTTCAGTTTGTGAGGTACATGTGTTATTCAGGGTGTGTTCTTTAATCTCCAAATATTTGAGATTTTTCAGGTATGTCTACTGTAAACTATAAAGGTAGGTGCTAATGATATATCAGTGTATGTTTGTCAATTGTAACAAAGCTACCAAGAGTGTTTTATCATATAAGACTTACAGTATTATGAAAGGTTACCTGGTACAATTTGTTTCCATATATTATCACTGAGAATAACTATGCATGTTATAGAAAAGACTGTATTCTTACTAAATTACCAATTCAATAATACCAAATCAGCTGTTGACTCGTTTTATTCTTGTATTGTTTTGGCTCCATCGCCTAAATCTTTCTACTGAGCTTCCAGGCACACCCTTCCCTCGAGGAGGCACCCACGACTCCTAGGCGGGAAGAGGAAGCCAGGCAAAGACCTGGGCAGGGATGAAATGAGGCTTCAAAGTAAATTTATTTTCTCCAGATTGATGTCGGCCTCAGAAATCATGATTTATAATAACGAGTAACAATGGCCAACCTGTAGTTAACGTTTACTACATGCTAGACATTAGACTAACCGCAGCACACTGTTCCGTCATTGAACGTTCTCAGTAACCCCCAGAGTAAATGCTCTTACTGCCCCTACTTTACCTCTAGGGGTGGGATCTCAGACTGGTTAGGCCACTAGCAAACTGTCAAAAAACAGCAGGTGAAAATTTGATTTTATGCAGCCTGATCTGACTTGCGTTCTTATCAACTGGGCCACAAAGAGACACATGTTAACCAATGGGATTTCTTCTTTTTTTTTCCCAAGAAGAAAAGTAAATTTCCACGCCGCGCACCATCTACAGTCTGCTGCTGACCTCTCTCCCCTCCTTGCTCCAGTCCCAGAACACTTGGTAGTGCTTCCTTGCTCACAATATTAAAATTCTGAAAAGGACCAAACAGTCCATTCCCTCCAAATATCTGGAGTCTAGTTTAAGCTTATTTCTGTCCTCTTTATCTAAATATGTGAGGTTATAGAGCACTGCAAATGAATTTAAATTTGAAACTGAGATGAAAATATGTACTAAAGAAATGACTAAAATTCGATTTAGAAATGGGTGTTCATTTACTCACCCTCCCTTCATCACACTGAGAGCCATCCTTGACCATCATTGGGTCTGTGAGCAAGCCATGCAGACTGTAGTCCAGAGTTATGCATATGACGTTGCGCACGTAAGCATAGAGCACAGCGACATTGTCTCGGTAGAAAGGAGTTCGAGTGGGGTAGGTGCAAATTAACCTTCCACATATGAGATTCCTGCCAACGTAATAAAGTTATGATTGTCACACATTAGGCATTTATTGGAAATGCTTCAGATTTGTTTTCTTTGACAAAAGAAACAAAAAATGGTTCATCATTTATGGCAGTGTATCTAGGGAAATGTAACACTGTAACATTTAAAGTAAAAAAAAAAAGTACAAAGCCACTGTATACAAGAGTATCTTTCAATGCTGCTAGTTGTCTTTTATTCACTGTGAAGATTTATGTACTTATTATCAAATAATCCATTCACTCAAGCATGTCATATGATATAAAAATAAACAAACTGTGACCTCTACCTTGAAGACTCTTATAGTCTGATACTGAATGTGATGTGTTGTTGAGTTGTACACTTGAAACCTGTATGGTTTTGTAAGCCAATGTCACCCAATAAATTCAACTTAAAAAGTGTAATTGTTTTAGAAAGTGCTACAATGAAATAAACAAATTCTTACAGAGTTTTAAAACGAGGACACTTTCTAATTTAGCAGGCAGGGGAAACTTGAAACAGAACATGCCATCTGAGTCAAAACTTATAAACAGAAGGATTTCAACAGTCAGAATAAGTTGTTTCTACACAAAAGTAACAGCATGAGCAAATCAAGGAAGCACCAAATACGTGTTATGTTTACCTGTCTACAAATTCCATGAGTACAAGGGCCCTAGATGAGTTGCTAACTAGTATTGAGCCCGGTGTCTAGCACATACTAAGTTCTTAATAAATGTTAAAAGAAATTCATGACCAATATATCAAAGAGCTGGCCCTTCAGATGCCAGGAAAAATGAACTTCATTTTATAGACACCAGGTGGTCTTCAGCTTAGGCAAGCAAAGGAATGGGACCAGTGTTTTTATAAAAAAGAATGAGCAGATTAAGAAAGAAAAGGTGCAATAGACATTGTTAGTTTCAATCATGTATTGGATCTAGGAGTCTAATAGTCATCTACATATGTTTATAAATTAGATGTAGATTTAAGCCTGTAGCACAAGGAAGATGTTGGGGTTCAAGATTTTGATTTGAAATTCACTCCCATATACATGTAGTACTTGGAACTACTGGCATGAATGAGACAAATGAAGAAAAACTAAAGACAGAACCTTACAGAATATAAGGAAAGTATCCTCAATATTTGCACAGCCTACCTCCACTGGCAGAACCGATACTGGCCCCTCTCCATACCACAGTTCCCGAACCTGTCAATTTGAGATTGTATTTCTTCATAGCAGGCAAATGGAGCATTTGATGAACCTGTCAAAGTTTAAAATACATTTGGATTAAAACTTCCTTTTTTTTTCATCTTCTTCGTTTCCTTTTCCTTTTTCTCTATTGTTATGTAATTCGAAAAAAAATTCCAAGTGAGGTTGTACAAGAGAAAGAATTCAAGTGGTTATGCCTCCTTTTGCTTCATTTTCTGTTACTTTCATGACAGAAGCTGTGAGGGGAGAGAAGTCACAGGAGTCTAAACCATGAGAGAGGGTTCTGTGAGAGTAGGCAACAGAAAGATAACACAAGAAAATTATACTTGTTTGCCTAGGTTCTGAGTAGGACCTCATAAAAAAATCCAGGTCTATAATGTAATTTTATTGAAGAAACATTGTTTCATCAAGAAGCCTAAAATAGCAGGACCAAAATTGCCAAGCTATATATTTAACTGTTTTTCCTTCATTACTATATTACTTTTATTATCACTTTGCAAAAAATACCAAGACCTTGGCAATTTACAATACCCCTGTATAATGTCACAGTTCCTGGAAGTCATGAAAAACAAATCAATATACAAAAATCAATTATATTTCTACACACAAATAACAGTTGGAAAACCATGTTTCAAAAAAACAATAGTTTTTATAATAGCACTAAACCCCATTCTGTGTCGGAAAGAATACAAAAAAAGATGTGAAAACCATGTTCACTATAAACTGCAAAGCACTGCCTGAAGAGGGGATGCCCCAGTGAGCGCAAGTGCTGCTCTCCACCTGGGGGGCCAGCGGCCACCGCGCCCGCTCCGTGTGTCAGGGCATGTGCTCTGAAACCGTGCTGCGTGAAGTACGTCAGACAGGAGGTGTCGAGAACCATATGACTTCACTCCTGTGTGGGCTGTAAATCAGAAAGGAACAGAAACTCACCGACACAGACAACTGTATGGTGGTTATCAGAGGGGAGGTGGGGGGGGCACAGTAAAGGGTAAAGGGATTAATACATGGTGATGGTGATTTGGGTGGTGGGCTCACAATGCAATGTACAGATGATGTACCATAGAATTATACACTTGAAACCTACATAATTTCATTAACCAATGTTCCCCCAATAAATTTGATAAAAAAGAAAAAAGTGTTTATGGTCACATAACTATAAAGGGACAACTTTTATGGTATGTGAATTATATCTCAAAAATGTTAATAAAAATAGCCCTGGCCCGGTTCCTCAGTTGGTTGGAGCAATGTCCCATACACCAAAAGACTGTGCGTGTCACCCCTGCTCAGGGCACATACCCAGGTTGCAGGTTCGAACCCTAATTGAGGTGCATACAGGAGACAATAGATCGATGTTTTCTTCTCTCTCTCTCTCTCTCCCCTACTCCCCCTCTCTCAAAAGAAAAAAAAACAATAAACATATCCTTGGGGGAGGAATAAAGTGAATGAATGAATGAATGAATGAATGAATGAATAAAAGAGCCAAACCCATAGAAATGAAGAGGAGAGTGGTAGTTCCCGTGGGCTGGGAGGTGGGAGAAAAGGGGAGATGTTGGTCAAAGGGCACACACTTCCAGTTATAAGATAAATAAGTTCTGCAAGTCTAATGTACAGCATGATGCCTCCATGTACTTGAAATTATACACTTGAAAGCATATTACATACTTGAAGGTTGCTAAGAGAGTAGATCTTGAATGTTCTCACCACACAAAAAAAGAAGTGGTAATTATGTGACATGATTCAAGTATGAGCTAATGTTACGGTGCTAATCACTTTGTGACACGTGAGTATCAAATCAACATGTTATAGACCTTAAACTTATATATTGTATAAGCTGGGGGTAGGGAAGACTTAAATGTGAGACCAGAAACAATAAAACTCCTAGGATAAAACATAAGAAAAAAGCTTGTGGACATTGGTCCAGGCAAAATTTGTTTGCATATAACACAAAAAACACAGGCAGCAATAGCTAAAATAGACAAGTGGCAGCTGCATTAAACTAGGAAACTTCTCAGGAAAGGAAACACTCAACACAGTGAGAAGGAAACACAGAACAAGGGAAAATATTTGCCAATTATCTAACTGATAGGGGCTAATCTCCAAAGTATATGTTACAATTCAGTAACAAATACAAACAGTGGGATTTTACAATAGCAAAGACTTGAAGAGACATTTCTCAAAGGAAGACATTCAAGTGATCAACAGACACATGAAAAGATGTGCTCAACATCACCAATCAGGGAAATGCAGATCATTTCAGACCTGCACTTACCAGGTCTTTTAGGATAACTATTACCAAAAAGACAAAAGACAAGTGTTAGCAAGAATGTGGAGAGACGGGGATTTTTGTACACTGTTGACAGGAATAAAACTGGTACAGCTATTATGGATAACAGCAAATAAACTCCTCACAAATTAAAAATAAACTACTTTAGAACCCAGCAATCATATATATACTCATTCTATGAGGCCAGGATTACATTATAAAACCAGTATGACATTCTATGAGACCAGTATTTTATATAAGGTGAATATATATATAGAGGGAGAGAATACACTGGCATATATATGCCAATATTTTAATATATAAATATATAGTATATATTTAGAAAATATATTTACATAAAATATATAATATAAATATATAAAATATGTGTTTATATAATGCTGTATTATACATTTATATGATATATGTAATAATTTATATATTATGTATAAATATATTCATGTGTGCAAGTGTTTATATATATAAAGAATATATATATAATGGATTTGTTAAGTAGTTTCATTGTGGCAACTATTTCACAATGTATATAACGTCAAAACATCAAGTCATATACCATAAATATATGTATTTTAGCTATCAATTATACCTGAATAAAGTTTGAAAAAATAAAAATGTGTAAGTTAAACAAAATAAAAAATTTAAATTTATGTATTTATGTACAACATAAACATGGACTACAAATCATATATAATTGACCACTGTCTTGGTAACGTTAATAAAATACTGAAGACCAACAACTTCGACGCTACAAGGCAGTATTACCTCTTCCAAAGATGGACTGGCAGCGTGCGTCGAGGTCTTGGCAGTCTCCCCCATAGCAAATGTATTTTGTCTTACATGATCGTCCATTGAGTATAGTCACATCAGGAAGACAATCTCCTGAGGTTCCGTTGCAAGATTCAGAAAGATCACAGTCAGGATGTGCAGCAGGCCTACACACTGAACCTGCTTTAGCAAACTAGTAGAAATTAAAATATAAAAAGTAAAGCATTATATATAAGACTGCTGTGTTTATCAATATTGATTTCAAAATTATGTTAATTTTATTCATAGGTTGATAATGTATTCATTAATGTCTCTTAATATCTTCTATATAAAATACTATGCTCATCATAAACAAAGCAACAAACAACAAGTGTTGGAGAGGTTGTGGAGAAAAGGGGACCCTAGTTCACTGTTGGTGGGATTGCAGACTGGTACAACCACTGTGGAAAACAGTATGGAATTTTCTCAGAAAAATAAAAATGGACCTGCCTTTTGACCCAGCAATTCTACTGCTAGAATTATATCCTAAGAACCCTAAAACACCAATCCAAAAGAACCTATGCACCCCAATGTTCATAGCAGCACAATTTACAATAGCCAAGAGCTGGAAGCAACCTAGGTGCCTGTCAGTAAATGAATGGATCAAAAAATTGTGGTACATGTACACAATGGAATTCTATGCAGCAGAGAGAAAGAAGGAGCTACTACCCTTTGCAACAACATGGATGGAACTGGAAAGCATTATGCTGAGTGAAATAAGCCAGGTGGTGAAAGACAAATACCATATGATCTCACCTTAACAGGAAGCTAAACAACAAAACAAACAAGTAAGCAAAATAAAAACAAAGACACTGAAATAGAGAACAGGGGGACAGTGACCAGAGGGGAGAAGAGAGGGAATTTCAGGGGAAAAAGGGGAAGGATTTACAGAAACTAGTATAAAGGACACATGGACAAAAACTAAGGGAGGTGGAAATAGGAGGGAGGCGGGGAGCACTGGGGTGGGGGGGCTGGGATGGGAGTAAAAGACAGAAAACGGTACTTGAACAATTAAATTTTAAATTTTTTTAAAAAATAAAATAGCCCTGGCTGGTGTAGCTCAGTGGATTGAGCATGGGCCTGTGAACCTGAGTATCATGGTTCGACTCCCAGTCAGGGCACATGCCTGTGTTGCAGGCCAGTTCCCGGCAGGCGACACACGAGAGGCAACCATACATTGATATTTCTCTCCCTCTCTCCTTCCTTTCCCCTCTAAAGATAAATAAATAAAATCTTTTAAAAAATAAAAATAAAATAAAATACTATGTTCATCATATCAAAAAACATGAGTGTCCTTAACTGAAACAGGACACAAAACACACACATGAGGAAAAGTGTAACACAAATACGGTGTGACAAGAGCCAAGGTTTTGTCTGTGTTCTGGTGCAAGAGAGGAAAATCACTCTTAGCTTGTGATAATTACTCCTTTGGGGTGAGAATAGTGTGATCTGCACAGTTTCCAAATAAAATATAGTTATTCAAATCACAGTCTGTAAATATGGAATATCTGTAATTACAATCTTTCTCCTGAATTACCCCATAGTTAGTTAACACTTCCACATATAGAATTCTAAAAATTTATGTAAACAATCTTAAATGAGCATCTATCTCACATTTCTTAATCAATGGTTTCCAGGTGACACTAACAAGATCAGAAGTAAGAATGTAACCACATGGTAAGATTCTAGAGAAAAATATCGTAAAACTGTGTTGGTAAAGGACTGTCAAGGACAGAGAACCTGTGGTAGGAAGTTCAACAGAGAAATTCTCATACAATGAATTGTTATAAACATATTAAAAAACTGAAAAGGAAAACAGGACAGGAGTCAACATCTTTTTCATATAAGCTAAAGTGTGACCTTTAAGACAACTTACCTTTGAACACTAAGTTTATAGTTTAAATTTTGTGCTATGTAACATTTGGAACTGTTGGTTCTAGTGAGTTTCATCAGAAACTCATTTATATATACATTCAGTATTTATACATTCATGGGAAACTGCTCTGTTTTCTGATAAACCTACAAACACCTACCACCACCAGTAACATTTTTATTTGTAAAATGTAAATGTTGGAAAAAGTGAATGAAAGTAACCCCTTTTAATGGAGATTTTCTACATTGGAGAATTCTGTAATAACTCATTGGAGAATTCTATAATCGAGGCTTGAAAACAACAGCATCAAGTCAGGGAGAATAATGGCATTAGAAGAAGGCCTCAACATCCAACTGAAGTTCACAAAATTAGAAGCCTGATTCCGAATTTGGTATCTTTTTTTTTTTAAAGGGCACTTGTTTGACTTGCAGCTATAGGTCTAAGTACTGTGGAGAACCTCAGACATGATCCCGTATATACTTGGGTGATGTTAATAAACTCGAGTCTTACTTTACAGCCGTGGCAGCATAACCCTCTATCGCATTCTGATCCCTGTTTCAGCACACAGGTCATGGGATCGCAACAGCTGGCAGGTCCACATTGCTACCAATGAATGGAATGCAAATGAAAGATACGTTATAACATAATAGAAACTTTGGCAGGAGCTATATTTACTGTGCTTTTGGGTTTTGGGAAAGAATATGAATGCTTTCAACATTTATAGATTTTTACTTCTCTAGACAATTAAAATACTAAGATACTTCGAGTCAAAACAGAGTAACTGGAACCCCACTAACTCTAATCAACTAGAATATTGGGCAAAACACATGCAACAACTTTTTCCAGAAAGTAGATAATAGTAACAGAGAGAATAGTAGTTATCAGTGCCTGGAGGATGGAAGAAATTGATTTTAAAAAATACAAACGTTCACTTAGAAAATGAATTATTTCTGAGAAAGTAATGTACAGCATGATGCCTTCGGTTAACTATAATGGATTATATACTTGAAATTTTGTAAGAGGACAGAAGAAGTATTCTCACTACTCACAAAAAGAAGTAACTTTGAAGTGAGGAATGTGTTAGATTGCAGCAACAATTTCACAATGTATGCATATAGCAAAACACCGCCCTATACACCTTAAACATACATACCACTGCTGTTTGTCCACTACACCTCAACAGATCTGGGGGAAAGGGGTGTGTAGAGTTAGGGCCCACTGCAAAGTTAGAGAGAACAGTCCCTAAGGCTTCCCTCATTTTTACACCAATGATCAGCTCAGTGGAGTTTGATAATTTACCAGAAGAACTCACAGCTCTCACTAAAAGCTGGTATATGCAACAGTTATGGTTTATTGTATAAAAAGGGTACAAATTAAAATCAGCCAACAGAAAAAGCACTTAGCACTTAGCACAAAACCCTAGAGAAGCACTAAACTTGAAGCTCTTACTACCTTCTCCCCATAGAATCACAGACACACTACGCTCCAAGCACTGAAGTGTAGTTTGAGGCCAGTATTATGCCAACACCAAACCTAGCCAAGACATTACAAGAAAAGAAAAGAACGTAACGATATCTCTCATAAATGTGCATGCAAAAATATTCAATAAAAATTAGAAAATCAAATCAAACAATGTATAAAAAAATATGCACTGCAACCAAGTGGGATTTATCACAATTATGCAAGACTGGTTCATCAATCAAAGATGAATTAATATAATCCATCATATTGACAGGCTGAAGAAAAAAATCATGTGATCATAACAACTGATATATTGAATGGAATAAGCACCTAACAATATCCAAATCTCTTTTATGCAAAAAGCAATACAGGAATAAAGGGAATCTTTCTCAACCTGATAACCAACTAAAAGTCTACAGCTGACGCCACACTTACAGGGAGATACGCTTTTCCCCTTGTGGTCGGGAACAAGGCGAAGATTCCCCCTCACCACTGCTGTCAAAATCTTAATGCAACTATATGAGAAAATAAAACTTTAAAAAATACATGTTAGATAGAAAGAAGGAAAACTGTTTTGTCCATAGATTGCATGATTGTCTATGTAAAGAAACTTATAAATAATTGGCCAAACCATTATAGCCACAAAAAAATTTTCCTGTGGCTAGTGAGTAATTATATCAAGGTTTCTAGATACCAAGTTAGTATGCAAAATTCAACTGTTTGCCTGTATACCAACAACAGAAAAAGTGGGAATTTAATATAAAAAACACAATCCCATTTACATTACTACTAAAAACAACAAAAATTTTGGGAATAGTTCTAATAAAATTTCAAAAGATCTATATGAGAAAAACTACAAAAATCTGATGAAAGAAATATAAGAAGGTATAAATAAATAGAGAGATATTCCATGTTCCTCGGTAGGAAAACTCAGTATTATTAGGCCGTCAGTTCTTCCCAATCTGATCTAGAGAATCAATATAATTCCAATAAAAACTCCAGCAAGTTGACAAACTGACTCTCAAGGCAAAAGACCTGCAACAGTCAATCTAACACACATGAAGAAAAATGAGAAAAAGGAAGAGGAAAACTGAGGGACTGACAATACCCAGTATCAAAATTTACTATAAACTGAAAAAATGAATGGATGGTGTTCCAAAAGAATAGATGAAGAGATCATTAGTGATGGAAGGTGACCAGACTCAGACACAGAGGATAGACTGACAGCTCTCAGAGGGGCGGGGAGATGGGTGAAAAAGGCAAAGGGATTAAGAAAAACAAACAAACAAACCAAAAATATACACACAGAAAACAGTATGGTGATTACCAGAGGGAAAGGGGAGTGGGGGAAGGTGGTGGAGAGCAAAGGGTGCGTAAATGGTGATAGAAGGCGACTAGACTATGGGTGCTGAAAACAATACAACATACGGATGAGGTGTTATAGAACTGCACGTTTGAAACATATATAATTTTGTTGACCCATGTCACCCCAATGAAATCAATAAGTTTAAAAATAGAAGACGACCTAAATTTAATATTATGTACACACATTGGCAGACTCAATATCAATATGGACACAATACAATTCCAATCAAAGTCCCCACATTCACATGCAGATTCTTACTTTATGTGGAAAGAAAGGGCCCTAGAAGAGTAAGACCATCTCGGAAAAGACAAAAAAAATAAGTCTTGTTTCAAGACTTACTATATAAGAGTACATTAATTAATAAAGCATAGAATTGGCAGAACAACAGACATAAATTAAAAGAAAAAAATCCAGGGATAGACACACCGGGTGTGGTAACTGATTTTCATAAGGATGTTAAGGTAAAACAAAGGTGAAAAGATAGTTATTTTAATAAATACTGCTAGAGAAAATCACCTTCTTAAGGAGGATAATGAATGTCAAGCCAATCTCTAAACAACAATAACAAAAAAACTCAAATGGAAGACAGACTAAATTTTAAAGTTTTAATTCTCCAGTTCTCCCAACACCATTTGTTGAAGAGGCTATTTTTACTCCATTTTATGTTGCTGCCCTCTTTGTCAAATATTAATTGACCATAGAGATTTGGGTTTATTTTGGGGCTCTCTGGTCTGTTCCATTGGCCTACGTGCTGTTTTTATGCCAGAACCAGGCTGTTTTGATTACAGTGGCCTTGTGATACAGTTTGGTATCAGGTATTGTGATCCCTCCTACTTCGTTCTTCTTTCTCAAAACTGCAGCAGCTATTCGGGGTCATTTATGGTTCCATATAAATTTTTGAAGTGTTTGTTCTAAGTCTGTGAAATAAGCCAGGTGGTAAAAGACAAATACCATATGATCTCACCTTTAACAGGAACCTAATCAACAAAACAAACAAATAAGCAAAATATAACCAAAGACACTGAAATAGAGAATAGGCTGACAGTGTACAGAAGGGAAAGGGGAGGAAATTTCAGGGGAAAGGGGGAAGGGTTTACAGGAACAAGTATAAAAGGCACATGGACAAAAACTAGAGGGGTGGAAATGGGAGGGAGGGGGGAGGGCTGGGTGGGTGGGATGGGATGGGAGTAAAAGACAGAAAACTGTACTTGAACAACAATTTTAAAACATTTTTAAATATATGTTACAGAAGAAAAAGTTTTAATTGTATAACTTCTGGCAGAAAACATAGAATAAAATATTCATTACCTTGGGTGAATAAAGATTTATTATGACAGAAAAACTGTGACAATACCAAAAAAATGATAAATTGGACCTTATAAAAACAAACAATGCCTGCTATGCAAAGACTTTAAGAAACTAAAAGGGTAACCCATAGACTAGAAACAAATAGGTATAATATACATGTATGACAAAGAAATGGTATCTAGCCTATAAGTCAATAATAAAAATAAACAACTTAATTTTTAAAACTGGCAAAATATTTGAGTAGATTATTCAAACACAGAGTGGCTAATAATGACATGAGAACATGTTCAACATCATTAGGGTCATCGAGGAAAAACAAAGCAAAACCACTGGAATGGCTAAAATGTAAAGGCTGCAGTATCAAAGTTTCATATATTGTTGATAGGCATGTAAAATGATACAACCACTTCAGAAGATAGTTTGAAAAACCGTTTCTCATAAAACCATACTTATCATATGATCGAGCAACTCTTTTAGGAATTCAGAGTAATACCAAATACTGTTAACAACTCAAATGTACATTGCCAGGTGGATGGAAAAACAGATTGCATTACATTAAAACAATGAAATATTACTCAAAAAAAGAAGAAACTATTACGACATGAAACAGTGTGGGTGAATCTCAAAACACTGTATTGGAAGGAAGAAGCCAGACACAAAGAATATGAGTTACATCATTTCTTTCATGTGACTTTCTGGATGAGGCAACGCCGACATCCTCAGGAGTTGCCTGGAGGCGAGAGGTAAATGGCTGCTAAGGGAGCGTGAGGAAGCTTTTGGGCACAAAAAAACCACCTGTGTTTTAATTGCACCAATGCTTATAAACATCAGTCAAAACTCATCGAGCTGTGTATTTAAAAGGAGTCCATGTTATTGTATGTGGATTATGCCCCAGTAACAGCTATTTTAAAATAAAGAAGAGTAAAGAGGGAAGACTTATCCTACCAAATGGTAAAACATAACACAAAGAAAGGCATAGTAATTAAAATGACGCAATGTATGGGCAAGTACATTCAAACCCATGTATGTATCAAACCTTAATATCATTTCCATCTATTCATTTTGTAATCACAGAAATGTATGGTATCTGCTGGATTGCTGCATATATTTCATTGCCTAGAATCATTATATCCTGGACATTTAGCATTCATATTTTCAGGACTTCCCTATAAACATAACCTAATGTTCACGTTGTAATAATAACACAGAGCTCTATTACCATATTACAAGTTCCATCATGAACTAAGACACTAAAGGGTACCTGATAGTCCACTGCCACATTAAGCTTTAATAAGACATTTATAATATGCCCAATGATTAATCACAGGTTTGGATCTTATATTTTTTGTCTAGAACCCAATACCTATTCTAGACCCCCATTTTTCCCATCAGCGATAATTTTTTGGAGTGCATTTGTTCAAAACTCTTCAATCTATAAAATTCAGACACTATATTCTTGCCTGTATTTCCACCTTGATTTCATTTACTGCCATATTCTACATGCTGCTCAGTCGTATTTGAGATACAGAACACTGATGACAAGGAGATTAACTAAAACAATCACTTTACTAGCCAGTGTTCCCAGTTACCAGACTTACCTCCTCAGTCCCACAGTCACAGACCTCAGGCTTCTCCACTCTGCCATTGCCACAGATCGCTGCTCGACCCACTTGCATTTGTGGCTTATTCTGAAGACACTTGGCACCCATATTTGAAACAAAATGTCTGAAGTCACTCACACTGCAACTGCTAAAGGTCTTCACACCACTGGATTGCCTAAAGGGGAGTCCGTATAATGTTGTTGGCACTATATTCTTGAAAGCACAACTCTATATTACATTAATTAATTTCAAAATGTTAAATCTAATAAAAAATAATAAATGTTCACAATGAAAGCTTAGAAGCTAAAATCATTCTTAAGGAGGTCATGTGATTTATTCAGTGGAACATATGTCCTTATTGAAACAAAATTAAGCACAACTCAATAGCAAAAACAAACAACCAATTAGAAAATGAATAAAGGTCTCGAACAGACATTTTTCAGAGACAACATATAAATGGCTAACGGGTGTATGAAAATGCACACAAAGTCATTCAACATCAGGGAAACACAATCAAAACCACAATGAGATATAACCTCACACCTGTGAGAATAGCTAATTTTTTTTAAAGAAAGGTAAGTTCTGGCAAGGATGTGAAGAAATTGAAAGCCTGGTACACTGTTGATGGGAATGTAAGTTGGTACAGCTGCTATGGAAGGCAGTAGAGAGGTTTTCCAAAAAAAATTGAAAATATAACAACACATATAATCTAGAAATCTCACTTCTCAGTGTATAGACTGGATATATACATTAAAATCCCCTACTATGATTGTATTACTGTCAACTTCTCACTTTAAATCCATCAATTTTGTTTATATACTTAGATGCTCCTATGTTGGGTGCATGTATGTTTACAAAGGTTATATGTCCTCGTGTTACATTGATCCCCTTATCATTATGTCCTTCTTTGTCTCTTATTATAGCCTTTTTAAAATCCACTTTGTGCCTGATACTGATATTGCTACCCCAGATTCTAACACATTCTAACAGGTCTGAGGCAGTTTCTCATTGTGGTTTTGATTTGAAATCAGGATCTCAAAGAGATTTCTGCACTCCCATATTCATTGTGGCCTTATTCACATAGGCAGATATACGGAAGCAACCTAAATACCAACTGACAGATGATGGGTAAAGAAACTGTGGCACATAGGGTTACAGCACGTAACATCCCATGCAATGGGATACAGTCAGTCTGAAAAAAAAATCTGACATATGCAACAACATGGATGAAGCCTGAGGACATTATGCTAAATAAAATAAACCTGAACACACCAGACAGAGACACAACAAAGAAAGAAAACTTCAGGCCAATATCGCTGATGAACATAGACGCTAAAATCCTCAACAAAATATTAGCAAATTACATCCAACAATATATCAAGAAGATCATACACCATGACCAAGTGGGATTCATCCCAGGGATGCAAGGATGGTTCAATATTCACAAATCAGTAAATGTAATACATCACATAAACAAAAGCAAAGAAAAAAACCACATGATCATATCAGTAGACCTAGGAAAAGCTTTTGATAAGGTACAACACCCATTTATGATAAAAAACACTCAGCAAAGTGGGAATAGAGGGAGCATTCCTCAATATAATAAAGGCCATTTATGAGAGACCTACAACCAACATCATACTCAATGGAAAAAAACTAAAATCTTTTCCACTAAGATCAGGAACAAGACAAGGATGTCCACTTTCACCACTTCTATGCAATATAGTTTTGGAAGTTTTAGCCATAGCTATTAGACAAGAAAAGAAAATAAAAGGCATCCAAATAGGAAAGGAGGAAACAAAACTGTCACTATTTGCAGATGACATGATAGTGTACATGGAAAATCCTATAGACTCTACCAAAAAACTGCTCGAGCTAATTAATGAATTTGGCAAAACAGCAGGATACAAAGTCGATATCCAGAAATCAAAGGCATTTTTGTATACCAACAATGAATCAGCAGAAGCAGAAATCAAGAAAAAAATCCCATTCAATATAGCAAAAAGAAAAATAAAATATCTGGAAATAAACCTAACCAAGGAGGTAAAAGACCTGTATGCAGAAAACTACACAGCACTGAAGAAAGAAATCAGGGAAGACACAAACAAATGGAAACATATATCGTGTTCATGGATTGGAACAATTAACATCATCAAAATGTCCATACTACCCAAAGCAATTTACAGATTCAATGCAATACCTATTAAAGTACCAGTGAAATACTTTACAGACATAGAACAAACACTTCAAAAATTTATATGGAACCATAAACACCCCCAAATAGCAGCTGCTATTTGGAGAAAGAAGAACAAAGTAGGAGGGATCACAATACCTGATATCAAACTGTATTACAAGGCCACTGTAATCAAAACAGTCTGGTACTGGTATAATAACAGGCACATAGACCAATGGAACAGAACAGAGAGCCCAGAAATAAACCCAACTCTCTACAGTCAATTAATATTCGACAAAGGGGGCAATAACATAAAATGGAGTAAAGATAGCCTCTTCAACAAATGGTGTTGGGAGAACTGGACAGCTACGTGCGAATAAATGAAACTTGAGCACCAACTTACAGCATACACCAAAATAAATTCAAGGTGGATAAAAGACTTAAATATAAGTCATGACACCATTAAAGTCCTAGAGGGGAACATTGGCAGGAAAATCTCAGATATTTCACGCAGCAACATTTTTACCGATATGTCCCCTAGAGCAAGGAATATAAAGGAAAGAATAAACAAATGGGATCTCATCAAAATAAAAAGCTTCTGCGTGGCTAAAGAAAACAGTATTAAATTAAAAAGACAACCAACTGTATGGGAAAACATAATTGCCAGTGATACCTCGGACAAAGGTTTAATCTCCAAAATATACAAAGAACTTACAGGGCTCCACTCTAAGAAGACAACTAACCCAATTAAGAAATGGGAAAAGGTCTTAAACAGACAATTCTCCAAGGATGTACAGAGGATCCAGAGACACATGAAAAGATGCTCAATATCGCTAGCTATCAGAAAGATGCAAATTAAAACCACAATGAGATACCACTTTACACCAGTCAGAATGCCATCATAAACAAAGCAAGCAACAACAAATGTTGGAGAGGTTGTGGAGAAAAGGGGACCCTAGTTCACTGTTGGTGGGATTGCAGACTGGTACAACCAACCACTGTGGAAAACAGTATGGAATTTTCTCAGAAAACTAAAAATGAACCTGCCTTTTGACCCAGCAATTCCACTGCTAGGAATATACCCTCAGAATCCTGAAACACCAATCCAAAAGAACCTATGCACTCCAATGTTCATAGCATCACAATTTACAATAGCCAAGAGCTGGAAGCAACCTAGGTGCCCATCGGTAAATGAATGGATCAAAAAATTATGGTACATATACACAATGGAATTCTATGCAGCAGAAAGAAAGAAGGAGCTACTACCTCTTGCAACAGCATGGACGGAAGTGGAGAGCATTATGCTGAGTGAAATAAGCCAGGTGGTGAAAGACAAATACTATATAATCTCACCTTTAACAGGAAGCTAAACAACAAAACAAACAAGCAAACAAAATAAAAACAAAGACACTGAAATAGAGAACAGGGGGACAATGACCAATGGGGAGAGGGGAGGGAATTTAAGGGGAAAAAGGGGAGGGATTTAGAGGAACAAGTATAAAGGACACAGGGACAATAACTAAGGGGGGTGGAAATGGGAGGGAGGTGGGAAACACGGGGTGGGGTGGGCTGGGATGGGATAATTAGAAAATTGTACTTGAAAAATAACTAACTAAAAAATAAAATAAAATTATTAAAAAAAATAACAAACCTGAACAAAGGCATAACTACTGTATAGTCTCACTGATATGAAGTATCTAAAATAGTTAAACTCATACATGCAGAAAGTGGAATGGTGATTGACTGGGACTAGGAGAAGGAAAGCATAGGGAATTGTTCCACAGGAGTAAATTTGTTATGAGAGATGAACAAACTCAGCAGGTCTTCTGTACAACATAATGCCTATAGTTAACAATATTGTTTTGTTTATTTTAAAAATTTGTTAAGAGGACTCCTACAAGGAAAAAATAAGAACAGGTTAATTTTACTTTTATAAGCATTACAAACTAAATCCACCTTTAAGTTTTTCTGCATTTTGGGGTGCGGTTTATGCCAATTCTTCCACACAGAGAAAGTGGCTGTATGTGTGTACAATATCTCTGCTGAGGTGAAATAAAACTGAAATGATGGCATGGAGAAAACTCTATATCCTTTTATGTAAATTCCCATATGAATATCAGCAACTCTCCAAATTTTCTTCTACTTCCTCCATCTTTGCCCTGATCACCACAAAATTAAGAATCAAGCTCTTGACAGTCTGAATCCATTCCAATGTTTTCCAATGTTTATTCATAGGTGTGTACTACATATATAATGATAGCTATGGTAATTCATTAAACTTAACTTCAGATGACAAAGGTAATAATTTTGTTATCTGTATTGTTAACATCACATTATCTGCACAGTTCTTAGCGAACACAGAATCAATTGTCTAGTAACAAACTTTTTTTAAGCAAACTATACTATTTAATCCAGAACATTTTATAGAAATTAAACCAGTGTACAAAGAAGCTAAAATTCTCAGCAAACTTAGAGTTTATAAATATGTAAGGTCAGATGCACACAGTTAAAGACTTTAAATTCAGGTACTCTTTACCCAAAAATTCATCTTCGAATATTACATAATTCAATAAAATATTTGTTATTACATATTAATAGATATTTTACTCTAAAGTATATACTTTGATGATCTGACCACCAAAATTGAAAGGTGAAGAAAATTTATAATTAAAAATCTATATGGCCCTGGCTAGTGTGGCTCAGTGGACTGAGTACTGGCCTGATAACCAAAGGATTGTGGGTTCAATTCCCAGTCAGGACACATGTCTGAATTGTGGGCCAGTTCCACAGTAGGGGGCATGTGAGAGGCAACCACAGATTGATGTTCCTCTCCCTCTCTTTCTCCCTTCCTCCCCCTCTGTCTAGAAATAAATAAATAAAATCTTTTTAGATAAATAAATAAATAAATATGTGATATTTTCACTCTGGGAACTATTTATAGCCAACTATATATAATTTATAATATTATATACATATATAGTCCCCAATTATTCATCATTTTG